ATTTCACAATTATTTTGGAGGATTTTACTGATCTTGGTCAATGAAGAAACATTTCCACAATGGCTGTTGCACTTGCTAAAGTGTTACTATACTTATGTTTTAATAAATGCATATATAATACTCTGCGTTTCTTCATAAATAATGAAGAGCTTCAGAGAATGTTAGCAATAATATTTAAGAGGTCTTTACAAAATCTTACTTTAGGAAAATGAGTAATATTCAGAAAAACTGATCATGAATTACTTAGCAATGGAGTTTTTGAGGGTCATATGCATTGTTGTGAAGACGTTCCCTTTTTTTTAATTTGGATGTGCAAAATCTTGATGTATGCTGTAGGCTTAAAAAAAACACTTTTAAAATGGTGAAACAAAATACTTGGGGGGGTAAATAAGATAACATTGCCAGGTCTGTGATCAGTTAGTTGGCATATTCCCTTGGTTCTGTACGTAACACAGATTAATAAAGGCTGACGGGAAACAAATGGAGCACCAATAGGAGTGGAATTCTAACCACATTCCAACCTTCACAACCCCTCTCAGTTGGCTATACAACAAAAAGCAGGATTGTCTCACATCTGGGAATACAGTATTCCTTTAACTCTTTTTTTAAGTGGCAGATGTTAAATGGTGCGTCACTAGTTTACAAGATTTCTTGTTTCTTTCAAAAATTAGAATCTGCCTTAATGATTTTTTTGGCTCATAGAAAAGTTTAGTAGCAGATGTTCAATGTCATTCTCACCTTCATCACTTATAGGACACAATGTGTCAAATGAGGTTTTCTTTCCAGGCTACATTAACTGGACGGAATTTTGATGTTATGAAGCTTTCAGCTTGACCAGAAGATAAGCGAGAACCGGCTTGAAAAGATAAGCTGCAGTACATGGGTGAAACACATGAATATTTGGGGGCACCTTTGTTTGTTGATGATCCTAGTTACTAATAAGTCATGATTTGCAGAGAGAAATTGCCTTTTGGCAAAAGTTGCTTGAAATGCTGATTAAATTGTAGGAGTTTCATAAATATCAAACCTCTACTCTTTGAATCCTGGTAGATTGGAAAATATTGATACTTTTGTATTTAACATATTTGTGCTCTACCATAGCATAGTCATAAGCTGTTATGCAAACTAAAAAGTAGCAGTGTGAACTACGTATAGCACAAACTTACATTTTTCTGTGAAAATAGAATTTTGGGGTTGTAATATAACATTGTTACAATGAAAAGCACATTAAAATATCCTGTCAAAAGGTTTTGTGTGCGCGTGTGTGTGTAAAAAGGGAGGAGGAGTCCAGATGTGCTCCCAACAAAGAGGGTCATCCAGCATAGATTGACATTTTGATTTGTTTCATACATGGTGCAAGGTTTTCATTTTCATGTTTGGGCTGGTAACTGGAGCACTGTGTGGCAAGGAAATACTGAGCTCAATAGGAGGGAATGAAATGGTAAACTTTAAGGATTACTTACTTTTTTAAAAAAGACAAAAAAATACAGTATAGCTAACAGTAGAATGCAATTAGGAAACTCATTTAAAAAGCAACAGGGACTACTACAAGAGAGGAGAAGTTGACATTCCCTCAGTGCTACACAATTATTAATCCAACTCAATTACTTTCAAGAAACATGGTTGTCTTTCACTGTCATATTGTATATATAAATTCATTTTTAAAAGAATTTAAGTGCTTTGCCCTGTACCACACCCAACCAGAGTAGTAGCGCAGGCAGCTAAACAGTCAGGATTTGCTAGATACTCTAACTGTTATTAAAGATGTAAATAAGAAATGTATCTTCCTCAGAGAAGATACTTTTCCTTTGTGTGAAATCATCAATTCATGGATTCTCCGGATGTCCCTGGGTTGTGCCTTAGTAGTGCAGTCTGGTAGCACAATGATCCACTGAACCATTGTCTGCTTACTCTCTATATCTGCTGTTCTTATTTTTATTTTGACTTCAACACAATCAAATTTTTAGAGTATCTGCTTTGTGCTAAACCTTTCTATTGTACTCGATATATTAAACTACTGTATATGTAAAGTGAAATGGGATGCATTCTTGTAAGAGAAAACACAATTCCACCAGAAGAGGGCATTATAAAATTACATTCTACTTTTTGAATGGTACAATAAAAGTTTTATTTAAATATGTTTTCAATAAGGATACAAAGCAGCATTGTACTGTTGGTTATTTACATAGCTTCTTATATTTCAGAGTGGATACAATAGTTCCCGTTTTAATTCTAGGACTGTATAGGATGCAGCAGAGCTATCAAAAAAACAATAAGGGCTATAATCACAGTCTCTGTCATGTGGACACTGGAATAAATGTTGTTGCCATTCATGATCACAAACGAAAATCATTTCCTTTGCAAGTCAATTTTTAAATCTCTTCCTTTTTATTTTGTTGAACAAAGAAAAATAAATAATGATGGTTTCAAAAAAGGCTTGTATATCACAAGTTGATTTGTCACAGCATAACAGAAGTTTGAGTGGACCACTAAAATGCATGCTGTATATTTTGAATATGTACATCACCACAGAATTCAGATCAGAACACCTCATTTAATGAATAATTGAATTCAAACATAAAGGTATTGTTGAGATTTTCAATTGATTAGTAAAGGTCAGGCTAAATCAGTTTACACACGATGTACTTCAACTCTTGACCAATTGGCAGACATTAATAGTGAAAAACAGGTTAATACCACATGTTTGTGTGGTTATGGGATTTAGTATATGCTAGACCTGTTAAAACCTCTGACTAACGATTAAAATCCTACTTCTGATAAGTGAGAATGTTTTAACTATGTAAATTGTCAGGCATTAACTTTAGTTAATCGATGATGAAAATATTTGTTAAATTAATTCTTCCTAAAAAGTCCCTAAACAATATAGAATTTGATTGTAAATAATGAAATAATGTTATTTTCCAGTTTTAAATCTATGGTCACAACGTAATGTTTAGAATGTCCAGCTTATCTTGTTATTGGCTTTAACAACATGTTAACATTATCAGTAATTATTAGCTCCAACATGTTGAAAGCTATAATTTGCTCTACAGCGTGGTTTTAATAATACTTCACGGTTAGTCCTCTTCTTGATATAAACAACTCCACGTCTGACTCGATAAAGGCTGGAAACTTAATATCTGTGCATCTCTCTGTGGCCATGAATAACCAAGCATGTAATTTTAATTCAAAGAGGAGACTCCCCTTAGTAATAAGCAATTTTTGCATGTCCTCAGCACCTCGTCCAGTTCTTCATGCTTTACGTATGAGCAATGTTAAATCCTCCATATGCCAAGAGAGGTGTTTGGAATCATTATACATATGAAACTTTCTTGGCAGCCACGCCTTGATGACATCTCAAGTAAAGCAGCCAGCATTTAGAGCTGGCTTGCAAAGCTATATTTGCTTCCATCAATTCCCAGATGACATCCACAATAAGTCAAGCTTCTATACAACCATTTATACCAGGTATCGATGCCTGCCTAACCATCTTCGCATTAATGGTTGCTAACCAGATTGTTCTCCGTAAATATCTTAACATCTACAGTCATTTCAAGTCACTCATTGAACGAAACATGACAAAGGTCTGATTATGGGTTTATAGTCATTTATTCTCACTTTAGTCAGCATTATTGATTTTCTATACCTACAACTGCAGAACTTGATCAATGAAGAATCACAATTGCAACTTGTGACAACTTTCAATTAAAGGTCCATCAATGCTTTGTCCAGATATTTCTGTATCTGACTTCTGAATATTTGGTCTCTTAGCAATTTATCAAAACTTTCTGTTCACAGGTCTAGCATTTGTTACTTCACTACGTCCTTTTGCCGTTAATTAATATTTTCATGTTTTTGTTGTTAACCACAGCAGACAGTTGTCAGTAACTCACACTCAAACACTTACCAGTTTATGCTACAGTATAATTTTCTTGCAAAATGATACTTTCTGAAAGATTACAACACAATGCTTGGTGTACTTTGCACTATGCCATTACTCCAATGTAGGCAAAAGGGGTGATTTTCTGCACAATCTGACAACTCTGCAGCCAATGTCCTCTGACGCACCAGACTCAACGACCCTATCCCCCCCCACCCCCTCCCCTGACTCCACTGGCTTCCCATCACACAGAGGATACAGTTCAAGATCCTGGACCTCACTTTCAACGCCCTGCATGGCCTTGCTCCCCCCAATTTCTGCGACCTCCTAACCCCCTACCAACCTGCCCGCTCCTTCCGCGCAGCAGGCTTCGGCCTGTTTCACATCTACCCACCTCACCATTGGCAAGTAGGCCTTCAGCCACTCTTCCCCCACCCTCTGAAATTCCATCCCACTGTCCCTCCACCTCACCCCCTTCCTTTCCTCCTTCAAGACCTGTCTCAAGATTCTCCTCTTCGACCATGCCTTTGGTCACCCTCCTTCCCCCCCCTGCTCCCCACCCTCTCCGATCCCGACATCTATCTTGGGACGTCCTCCCGACATGAAAGGTTCTATACAAATGTAATTTTGTTGTTGCTGTATTATGTGCTATAATGTTACTGATCCATGTGGTTGCAAATTAGAATGACTGGTTAAAAACAATTCAACATGTTTAGAAATCTGAGGAATGCAATAGTTGCATAACCGTATAATTCATAGTGCTGAATAACCATCGGTGGCCAGGCTTTCAGCCTCCATCGGTGGCCAGGCTTTCAGCCACACTCTGGAACTCCATCCCACAATCCCTTTGCCTCGCTTCCTCCCTTGCCTCCTTCAAGATCAGTCTCAAGACCCTCCTCTTCGATCGTGCCTTCAGTTACCCTCCCACCTCTCTGCCTTCCCTCACCCCTACCCCACACCTCCCCCATGCTCGGGTCCTGACCCCTGACTGTCCAGCTCCTTGGGACGTCCTCCTGATATGAAAGCGCTCTATAAATGTAATTTATAGTTGTTGTTGTTATGTTGTAAGTGGTTAAGTGCTGAATTTAAAATAGTGTTCCTGTACCATTTTACCTTTTAGGTTGACACATCTTGCTACCATGTCCGATTTTGTGTCATTGGAGAGGCTTGATCTTGGCAACAACCGATTATCAGGTGAGACAACATATTGCAGTTTTATTATTATAATTTTGTCATTCTTCCCTTTCACCCTGGCTGAGATTTTTCTTTGTTGAGGAGTTCTTGGGCTTGCATTAGTTGTCCTCGGTACCATTCTGCAAGCAGTCAACATAGGATGTTACACTGTTATGAAGTATTCTGTTTATTGCCCTGACCAAGAGCAAAGAAGGCTCATTCCATTAATAGTAGCTCAGGTGAAATGTTAGTTTACACTGTGATTCCAACTTGGAGGTCTTTACAATTGGAAATTGTAACATTAAAATTACTGAGGAGAGTTTTGTATATTTGTAATTTGCTTTGGCTAAAATCCCTTAATCATAAACAGCTGCCAGATGTAATCAAACTCTTGTACTGTGCATTTTGAAGATGCCCTATCCATTTCTTTGATCTGGCCTTAGCCTCTCTTGTTCAACCATAAAGAAAATAGACCATTTTAGCTGTGGCAGAGGAGCATTGGATACTGTAGAAGAGATTAATTTACATGTTTCGTGAGATGGATGATCTGCAATGGGTTAAGGTGGTTTATTGCAGGAGGAAAAAGCTCCATTAAAAACAAAGTTGAAACAAGAGACCTTTAAAATTATATTACCAAATGTATATTTATACACAATCAATTCATCCAAAAAAGGAGGAAAAAATGAGAAACTTATCATAAAATTATGAAGAAAATTGTATAACCCCTTTTAACTGCAGAAAATATATTTTTATTATTTTTATTAATTAAACAGTTTTAAATGGCTAAGAAGACTCACAGTTTGGAAACCTTTACATTCATGAGGTGGCTAATAAACAATGCATGTTTATTATCCATAATAAATACTTTCTTAGAAGAGTAGAACAATGATTCCTCCATCGTTTAGTATAATAATAATATATAATAATCCTTGCATTTGATATAACACCGTCAATGTGGGGAGGATGTTCCAGATCCCTACACAGGATTTACTGTAAAGTTTAGTGATTTTATAGGTGAAATCAGCAGCCAAGTTGCTCGCAGCAATGCCCACAAATAGCCATGAAGTGAAAATAATTATTTGGTGTTCTAAAAGTGGGTTAGTTTAATGTCAAGTTGAGCCAGATTGGCCTGTCAGTTGTAATACATAGGGCACACCCTATATAACAGTTAAGCAAATAGTTGACCACAATAATTCCTATTAATATGTGCAAGAGAATGATTCCTAATAACAATGACCCTACGAGTAAGATACAACAGGCACTTTTGGCACAGTATTACTGGTTAAATAAAATGCATGCCTTTACATCTAAAATGCACACCTTTACATCTAGAATTTCAAGTATCAGAATGTCTCATAAAATACACAAGTCATTACTTCAAGACAGTATAACATGTGAACTAGGGATGCAACGTATACTTACTATGTTTCACTTGGATCCACAGTGGAAGTGCATAACAGGCTTGAACACTATAAAATATAGAACAGCGAGCTTTCAAATACTCAGACATATCTTGGAATCTCATACCACTAAAAATCATTAATAAAAATCAACTTAACTCTCTTCTGTTTCTGAAAGACTTGTCCCTCAAATTGTTTTTCCAACATTCTTACATTTTTCAGACAAGCATTATTTATTTTATCTGCTTCAATCTGTTTTGATTTCTTTTCTATTAAGAATATGTTTACTTTATCACAGATCTCAAGAGCTTTCTTTCATGTCTTAATGGATGTCATAGTCTGCTGCAGTTGATACTAGAAAGGAATCCATTTCAGCAAGAATTAGGATGGAGGTGAGCCAAACCCATTTCTCTGTCATTGCTGCCTGTCAGACAAGGTAATAAATTACTGGACTGAATGCTATACATAGAAAATTCTCAATAAAAAATATACATTGCAGAATATCACAGCACATTGTTGAACTTCTACTATTATCTAATGTCACATTTTGCTAATGTTGAAAAAATTCCATCAGTTCAACGTGATAAACATTTGGAACACTATCCTTCAGCTTTGAGTTAGCCATATGATCCTATTTTTCAGATAAAATAAGGGAGTACTTTTGACAACAAAAGGATACTTTCGCAGTACTGTGTATGCAATTGTGGTCAGTAACGTGAAATTTAAGTAGCCCTAAAAAATTCAGTAATCATAGTGGGCTCCTTTAGTTATGTGACACAATATTGCCAGGTTCTGCTCCAATATCAATGTGTCGTAAAACCAGCTTTGTACATATTGTTGGAGGTTTAGAAGTAAAAGAAAGACCTATAACTAGGGTTGAGGTTTTTTGACTGTTTTAATCTATAGTGGTGTATCTTTCAGCAATAAAATTTAGTATTTTTAATAAAATTATAACTTATAAAAGGGAAAAGACCTTATTGTATTAATGCTACATTCAGGTGATGCATTTTTTAATAAATCAGAACCAGGAAAGTATGTCTTCTTATTAAACAGAATTTCAATCCTGCTGCACAGACTTAAATCTGAAATGAAGTGGACAGTCTTTGTAGTGACTTCCTGGAGCCGTGGGCTAATCTTGCTCACATTGTGAATTCAAAGAGTTGACATTTGTGTGATTAGAATATGATAATCAACTATACGTAAGAACCACACTTGCAAAAAAAAGGAATCCGTAGGAGAAAATTAATGAGAAACTGACATAAAGACAAAGAAGTGAAGGTAATTGATTATTGCAGTGTACAGATGGAACAATATTCTTTCATCTCTGGTTTGTAATCCGGCCCAGACAAACGATAACAGACAGACTGACTGACAAAGATTTTTTTTACTCTGACAGCTACAAGGATCTTACATCTCAAGGTACACAGCTGAAAGTCTGATCAAATTGTAGTGTCTTCAGAACAACTTGCCATTGAATTATGTGTCAATGGCACATTTTATTAACTTAAATGTTATTTCCAATCCTGAATCCACTTTTTGGTGCAGTGGCTAATGGACCCAAACACCCTCCATACGTCTGCAAAAAGAAATTGATGGCACACTTTTTAGAGCATAAGTGTACTTAAAAAGAAGCATAGAAAATTAGTTTTAGTTAAAAATTTAGAGTTCTATTTTAAATTTAATGACAATGTTTTTTTTAATAAAGCACTCTTGTTTTTTTATAGATGAGCTATTTTCTCTCCAGATAATGTAAGCAAGATTAACATTATCCCAGAATTGCACTGTGGCCAGAAAGACAATGAATGAGAGCAATGCTGCATGATGTTCTTTGCTATAACATTTTAGTTAGCTCCTAAATATCATATTGTAGTAAGGATTTGCTCTGTTATGTATCAGCATTGCAAAACATCAGTGCAGTTATCTGATTGAGGAACACAATATCTTAAAGTATTTATATTTTTGTGTGTAAATCATAGGAACATAGGAATTAGGAGCAGGAGTAGACCATTCGGCCCCTCGAGCCTGCCCCGCCATTCAATAAGATCATGGCTGATCTTCTAACCTAACTCCATCGGTCCACCTTATCCCCATATCCCTTAATCCCTCTATCCTTTAGAAATCTATCAGTCTCAGTCTTGAATATGTTCAAGGACTGAGCATCTACAGCCTTCTAGGGTAGAGAATTCCATAAATTCACTACCCTCTGCGTGAAGAATTGTTTCCTCAACTCTGCTTGAAAGAGCTGTCCCTTACTCTTAAGACTGTGACCCCTAGTTCCTAATCTCAAACTGTCTCCTCTGTCAAGCCCCATAAGAATCTTATATGTTTCTATAAGATCACCCCTAATTCTTCTATATTCTAGAGAATATAAGCCTAGTTTACTCAACCTATCCTCATAGGTCAACCCCCTCATCCCAGGAACTAACCTAGTGAATCTACGCTGCACCCCTTCTAAGGCGAGTATGTCCTTTCTTAACTAAGGAGACCAAAACTGCACACAGTACTCTAGGTGCAGTCTCACCAAGGCCCTGTACAGTTGCAGCAAGACTTCCCTACTCTTGTATTCTAACCCTTTTGCAATAAATACCAACATGACATTAGCCTTCCTAGTTGCTTGCTGTACCTGCATACTAACTTTTTGTGACTGGTGTACAAGGACACCCAAATCCCTCTGAACGCTAACACTATCTAGCCTCTCCCCTTCTAGAAAATAATCTGCTTTTCTGTTTTTACTATCTAGTGAATAACTTCACATTTCCCCACATTATATTACATCTGCCACCTTCTTGCCCACTCACCTCGCCTATCTATATCCCTTTGCAATCTTTTGTGTCATCCTCAGAGCTTACTCTCCCACCTATCTTAGTATCATCCGCGAATTTAGATATTTTAAGTTCTATGTCCTCGTCTAGATCATTGATATAGATTGTAAATAGTTGAGGCCCAAGCACTGATCCTTGTGGCACTCCATGAGTCACATCCCGTCAATCTGAGAAGGACCAGTTTATCCCTATTCTCTGTTTTCTTCCTGTTAGCCACTCTTCGATCCATGCTAATATATTGCCTTTAATTCCATGGGCCTTAATCTTGTAAAGCAGCCTTTTATGTGGCAGCTTGTTGAATGCCTTCTGAAAATCTAAATATACTACTTCTACTGGTTCCCCCCTATCTAACCTGCTAGTTACATGCTCAAAAAACTCTAAAAGATGTGTTAAGCATGACTTCCCTTTTGTAAACCCATGTTTACTCTGCCTAATCATGTTATGGTCTTCTGAGTACCCCACTATGATGTCCCTAATTAAGGATTCTAGAATTTTCCCTACTACCGATGTCAGACTGACTGGTCTATAATTCCCCATCTTCTCTCTCGCACCCTTCTTAAATAGTGGTGTTAGTTTGTGATCTTCCAATCAATGGGAACTGTTCCAGAATCCAGAGAATTTTGATAGATTAAAAACAAGGCATCTACTATCTCAGCAGCCACCTCTTTTAAAACCCTAGAATGCGAGCCATCAGGTCATTTTTTTTTATCATTTTTCAATCCCAACAGTTTCCCTAGTACTAATTCTTTACTGGTATTAATTTCCCTAAGTTGCTCACTAACATTAGCTTCTTGGTTCCTCTCTATTTTTGGTAAGTTTTCAGTGTCTTCTAAAGTGAAGACAGAAGCAAAGTATTTGTTTAAAGACTCTGTCATATCTTTATCCCCCATTATAATTCCTCCTGTCTCTGCCTGTAATGGACCCACATTCACTTTTGCTAGTCTCTTCCTCTTTATATATTTGTATAAACTCTTGCAGTCTGTCTTTATGTTTCTAGCTAGTTTGCCCTCATAATCCATTTTCTCCTTCCTAATCAGTTTCTTGGTTTTTCTTTCTTGATCTCTGAAGCCCTCCCAATCCTCGGGTTTACTGCTCTTTTTGGTAGTATTATAGGTCTCTTCTTTTAATTTTATATTTTCGTAACTGCTCTAGTTAGCCATGGTTAAACCACTTTTCCCGTGGTATTTTTATTCCTCAAGGGAATATGTGATCAAAATCAATTGCTGAACCTGCAGAAGTTTGATTTATCACTGATTTCTAATGATGAATTTGGACTTAGCATTTTAAATTAACTTTCAAGTTATGCTTCAAAATGACAGTTGACAAATTGGAATAAATAGTTATGTCAGTTAAGGATTGAAACTTATTGTATGAAACTTGTGAAATTCAGATGGTGTAAGCAATCTCATTTTCCCTTATGAGTTGGTCTCTTCATGAACCATATTCCTTTCATGAACAAATCTTTCATTTTGTGAAAATTTGCTCCACACATTCATTCAGCAGGTGGGGGCATCGAGCGAGGGATTACTGTTTTTCAAATGTTTGAATTGCTGCAGAAACCTAGCACTCCATTTGTTAGTCATTTTCATTTTGGTGCTGGTAAATTGGCTAGAAGTGAAATCAGCACATGTAGAGAAGCATCAGAACCACTGGTATTCAAAGCCCTAGGGGTTGCTAAGAGTTCATAATCAAAACTCATTTTGAACGTTGTGCTTAAAGCTTGTAATCAGCAGTATAACCCATGGATCACTGTCACAAGGCAGTCGGGCTGAAAATGGTCCTGAGCTAAATTAGTCATAAATATTTTATTGGTTCTTGTTACATAAGACAGGTGCCCTGCACTTCTTATCAGGGGTTTAGCTGAGTCTGTGATAAGAACCAGGTAGTTCCAGCTTGTAGATTTGCAGACTGATTGCATTGCAAGTACAGCATTGCGAGCATATGAATAAACATTTTAAGCTAGGGAAGATTAATCGTATTTTTGCATCAAGAGACATAACATTATGAAAAAATCAAGGACATGCCGGACAAAACACATCAACCCATACATAGGATAAATGTAAAGACTGCTTAAAAAACTGATGTCACTAGAAAAACAAGCCCTGGGTAAGATTTTGATTAAATTCAAAAAATGTTCCCCGCAATTAAAGAAATATAAATGTAATCTGTCATGATGGAATCGCTATGTTTTTTTGGAAAGCTTGAAGAGCAATGGGCAATGTGACAGAACATTTGAGTTGAAAGGTGCGACTTTGTGATTTGATAATTATTGCCTGTAATAATTATAATATGGACAAAAAGCACAATCAACAGCAGTCAATGGTTGTCATGGACTGTAGGGGGAGGGAAGGGGAGTTATTGCTCAAAAATATTTTGTTTTTCATTTGAGAGAGTCTTTTGTCCTAAAGCATATAGATGAACTTTTTAAAAGGCCATTTACTAGTATATTCATTATATTATCTAATCATGTGTTTCTCCTTTAAATAATAGTCCCTGAAACTTTAAAAATAAAAGGGAAGTCATGGAAATGGGGGGAAAAAGAAAAGCAGATTCCTTTTCAGGAACTCATAGACATTCATAATGGAAGGGATGGATATAAAAGAAAAAATAATTTATGTTTTTTCTTTGCGTGTGGTCTCAAAGGTCTTCTGAGGTGCATCATTTCGATTGCAAGATTTCTGCCTTAAAATTGTGTCTTGTTTTATTTCTAAAGGGACAGAGAGTACACCAGATTTATAAATATGGTTGTCTTTAATCTTAAATACAATAAATTTCCCTTCCTATAGTGAGATACAAAAATGTTTCATTGTATTATCTTGTTAAATTGACTTCGACATTGGTTGTTCACCAGCCTATGACCAAAAACTGCATTATCATTGTGCTAATTTATATATTTTTTGTAAAGCATTGTATTTCAATGGAAATTCGAATTAGTTGGAATACAACAAAAAAATCCTTTTTTTTGGAAGATTACCATCGTGTATTAGCAACGCAGAGCACCCTTAAATAGTAGCAATCTATGAATCTTGTGCACTGTACTTGTGTTTTAGATGTTCAGTGCTGAAAATGTTACCAGGCCTAAAGGTGGTGGATGGTGAGAGGATCAGTTCCGCTGACCAGTCTCCTTTAGACAGGACCAGCATGCCTTCACCTGGGAGTTTCTTGGCTTTCTGTCAGGCCAAGCTTCAGAGCTTTGAGTTATTGCTCAGGAGACATGAGACCGAACAAGGGTAAGTGTCCTTTTGCACATTTCATCTCTTTTTGACTGTAACATGAGGCTATGCTTCATGCACACACATAACTTTTTGACACATCTGTTGGTTTGATTAAAGAATTGCATAAAACAGGAAACAGGAAAATTTAGTATAAGTATTTCCAGTTTTAAAATGTCAGCACTTGTCTTGAGATTTCCACTGAGGGTAGATCCCAGCGTGAGTTGGAATAAAATTGAGTATTTGGCAAAAATGTCATGCTGTCGTTGGACTGGCATTTCTATACAGGACTTTCAATTGCATTATTTTATACTGCATAACAATCAACTAAAAATGTTGTTCAACATATTTCTGTTTTATGATTGATTATTTGAGTGCACGGCAGTTATGGACCATTAAGTATTTTTCCAGTGTGGACCCAGCGGCTCCATGAAATACTCTCAAGGCAGGTTTATTGTGGATCCAATGTACAGAGATGTTTAAGTCTACAGTAAAAACAGGCAGTTACGTCAACTTCAACCTCAATTGATTTATTCCCCTGTATGGTTCAAGCATAACTTTTCTCTTTTCTAAATTGCCCATCTTTCTGGCCTCACTGTGTGGCATTGGAAATGTGTTTTAATTTACGAAGTTTGGCGGGTAGTTTTAGCCAGTTGTAGCTGAGACAAATCTAACCATGACGCAGCAGAGAACACAGTTAATTGACAGGACTGCCAAGTATTTTGTTTTTCCTGGGCTCCATTCACTAGCGCCGGGGAAAATATAGGGACTTGGAAGGATAATGTCAACCTGGCACTCAATCTTCCCTTTTTAGCAATGGTTCAACTTCAAACAAAATCAGCTGTATTCTTGCCAAGTGACGAGGCATACATGTAACTACAAAGACACTGATTCTACCGTGAATAATCAAAGATTCAGAATTACTGGACCAGGCTTGTGATCACTCAGTATCTTTTGTACAGTCGATACTCTAAGGCATGCAGTATTTCGCAAGACCACAATGCCAGCTTACATCAGCACTTAGCAAACATGTTGGGCAGAGCTATATCTGGCATCAAGTAGAACGAGTAAAAATTATTTCACAAATGGCAGTTTTACACCCATGCAAAAATTATTATTTGGGATTGTACTCTTCAGTTGGAGCAGTATTTGAGGTATCTGGTTTGTCTGGGAAGGTTTCTGAAGTCTTAGGTGGTAGCCCAGTGTCTGTATGTGTGTTTGAACACCAGGACTTTATGGGCCTCAAAACCCGACATGGGGCTTGACCCCATAACCTTCTGACTCAGAGGCGGTGTGAGGCGAGAGTGCTATCAACTGAGTCAGACTGACTCAAACCAACTGAATCAGACATGTAACTTTGACTTGAAGTCCAAAGATAACTTACAAGTAATAAGAAAGACTCAACATTTTGCTGGCTGGAACCCTCTAATAACAAAATAGCTCCAATTATGTTTCAGATATCCTCCTGTGTCTTAGATCTCCAAAGCTTAAGAAGGCTTTTGCAACCTCCACTGATAATCCCAATGAGCCAAAGCCATGGCATCAGTGTCACCAAGCTATTTGACAGCCCAGATTGGACATTTATCTACCTGATGGGGAATAAATAAAAACTGATGTTTGTGTCAGCGAAACTTATTCTAAACTACAAGAGCAGTTTGGATGAAAAAGGCTCAGGCTCAATTGATCTCATCTTCTATAATATGATAATATAATAATAATACTTGCATTTGATATAATGCTGCATCACTTCTTCGAGACATCTGAAAGCGTTTAACAGAATGTACTGTAAACTGAATTGACTATATTTTGTAGGTGAAACGCAGCAGCCAATTGCACACAGCAATGTCCCACAAACAGTCAGGGATTGAGTGACCAAATATGCACCGTACTGCTTTCCCATTAGAGCATCAAGGTGTTTCTTAATTGGATATATCTTTCCTGGTAACCTGTTTCAGTTCTTAATATTGATTTCTCAATGAACACTCATGAAGGTGAGCTTCAGACCAGGTTTTAAAATGTACTGCTAGCTAATACAGGTACCAGATACTGATCATTGCTAGCTCCAATTGGCATTCAGGATCAATTGCTAAATGAACAGAGTTGTTTGCTAGCTAAATGCACATTGGTGTTGGCTGCGAGTTTTCAGAATGATAATTAAAAACAAGGTTTCTCCTACCAGCTACAATAATTTAAACAAAAATGTCAGTGTATGCAGTATAACGACACAATATGTATAATCCTATGTGTGTATGTATTTTCTTCATTGTGACAGATGTGTGAAAGTGTGTGACTACTTATTTCAGAGGAAATGGTCCAAATAAATTGGGAAAATACATCAAAGATTGGAGACATTGATTTGGCACATCATTAACAATATTTCTCAAAATACCATTTAAAAAAAACTTCAGAAAGATCTCTTGCACAAAGGAGTAAGAGTCCAATGGTTATATGGCACATTTGAATGCATTTAAAGTATAAGATAAAGCAACTCTTTTTGCATTGTAAAATAAAAACAGTGGCTTCATCAACAAAAACTATTTCTTAACCACCTTATAACCTCCTTTATGTGTGTCGCACAGCACAAGTATCCCCAGTTTGGGCATGGAGTTGGCAGGTTTGCGTCCTAGTTATCATTAACAATGTTGTGTAATATTATTTATGTTTTATCTGTTTTGTATATTTTTGTCGTTTTTTAATCAGAGGATTGGACCCACTGGAAGTTGTAAATATTCGTTGCCAGCACTGTGAAGAACTGATGCAGCTGGCTGAAGAATGTAGATATGCCCATGAGTTTGGAGACTTAACCATTGCTGAAGAGAAGGAATATTCCAATATTCACCACAAGGGAAATCTCAGTGTCAGAAATCAACATAAGAAACCAGCGACTGGCCACGCTAACAAAAATAGTCCAGACACTGACAGCCAAATTGTTTCTAACCAGGTTCAGACCTCTGTAACCCACTCTTCTGAAAGCAGAAAGGAAAGTGATCACTCACACATAATGTGTCAAGATTCTAAGCACTCTAAGGACCCCAGAGTCCTTTTAAATGAGGAAGGAACTGTCACTTCTCCGGAAGATTGCAGAATAAGCAACGACCAAGTACATTCCAAACACAACGGGAAGGCACCAGGCCCTCAGACTAAAGAACGTTTGGTGGGAAAATACCTTCAGCATATTCAGTGGGACAATTTGGAAAAGTAATAAAACAGATTTAGTTTTTTTTATTAATCTTTATGTTTTAGTTACACGTACCAGAATTGTTGTGATTTAAATAAGGTAAATAATGTATCTGAGACACCACCTATGGCATATTCCAGAATTTTTGGTTGTTATAGATTCAATAACCTATCCGCAATTTTATTGTAATTAAGGTATGATACAACACAATTTGCGTCTAAGGAGTGTGCAGTGTGTTAGCAGAGATGCCAGAGATAAGTTGATTTAAGAAATTGTCATTCCATGGCACAGTTCTTTTTCTTTGCAACAGTGAAAGATGCATTGTGACCGCATAAACTAGAAGTACAAATTGAGGGGTGGGGGGACAGTCAGTTTTCACTTTCTTTTGTTTCTTTTTCCCTTACTGATCTTCACTTTTTCGTATTGTTTGCTGTCCTTCCCACCCCTGACCAGGACCTCTTTTCTCCACTTCTGTCACATTGCCCTCCTCCGACCATACCTTACTGCAAACAACAACAACAACAAAATTACATTTGTATAGCGCCTTTCATGACGGGAGGACATCCCAAGGCGCTGGACAGAGTTTCGGACCCAAGCTGGGTGTCGGGGTCAGGGAGGGTGGAGGGCAGAGGGGGAATCAGGGAGATCGAAAGCACAGTCGAAAATGAAAGGTCATGCGATGGGTCTTGAAGATGACAAGGGAGGACGTGAGGCAGAGGGACTGCAGGATGGAGTTCCAGAGGGTGGGGGCAGAGTGGCAGAAGGCCCGCCCACCAATAGTGGGGCGAGCGAGGCGGAGGATGTGAAGCAGGCCGGAGCCCGCTGAGGGAGCGAGCAGGATGGTAGGCAAAGGCAGCTGAAACCCTCATCCATGTGTTCATCACCTCCCAACCTCGATTACTCCTCACCAGTCTCCCCAGCTCCACTATCCAGTTAATCCAGAACGCATACTTACCCGTACTAAACTCCATACCCACATCACACCAGTTCTTAACAGGCTTCACTAGCAACCTGTCACTGAATGGATCGATTTCAAAAACCTCACACTCATCTTCAAATCCCTTCATGCCCTAGCACCTCCCTACCTCTCTGACCTGCTTACTCCCCAATCTACTACCCGTCGCCTCCACTCAACTGGCTCCAGCCCTCTGCTTATCCCTCGTGTCCTCCGTCATCAGTGGCCGCACTTTCAGCCAGTACGCTCTGAAACCGGATCACTCTCCCTCAATTCCCCTGCCTTGCCCTCTCCTTCCCCATCTTCAGGTTGTGCCTGAAGACCTTCCACTTCAACCATTTAATGGTCACATCCCCCACCCCCTGCTTGGTGTCAGGCTTTGCAACTGTCAAGCAATCTGAGACGCTACCCTGTGTGAGGGGCGTTATATAATTGCAAGTTGTTATTGTTGTTATGATCTTTGTTTTGAGTTTCATGTCCTTTCCTTCCTTATTGCTTCTGTCTTGGTGTCATGTTAAGAAATATTTTTTTTCTTATGACCCACTGGATTAATTTAATGAAAAATACTTAAGGAAGCCAAACCTCGGACTTGGAAAGCTGCAATAATAAATACAAAGAGCAGGAATAATAATTAGTTATTCAAGAATGTGGCAGGCATGCAAAGAGCCATGCATGGAGCCAGAGCTTTCTGTTTTCTAAACTTTCTTCTGCTTAAACACACTTTTCACATGCTAAGTTTTTTCACATTACAATATTCTGAGAAATCAGTTAGCACCGATTCAACTTATTTTCACCTGTGGCCCAAATTTCTCATTGTTTGGTCTTAAAAACTGTGCTAAACCAGCTTCCAAATTAATACTATGTTCAAAGATTTTCCAAAATGCTACATGATGTTAAATTTTAAGGCAATCATCAGAAGGCGATGAAGCATAATGAGTCACACTTGCTGGTCAAAATTGGGCCTAAAACAGTGAGGTATGCAAAATGATGGATTACTTTTCACTCTTTCCTAGCCCATCGGTTACAATATCCCATTTTTTTATTTTAGCACAATGGTTTTGTAATTTGTAATAAGGATTTGGCTCAGAATACATCATTGGAATTTTTAATGTTTGTCCAACTTTAAAAAATACCCCTGGCCTGGTCAGGTACAAGACTAAGGGGTCCAATTTAGGCTGATTTTACAACATCTTTATAATATTTTAATCACTTTTTCATTGTTTTTATAGTTTATTGTCATAAATCTATAACCCAAACTTCATTGCAGCCAATAATGTAGACCTTTGTTTATACTGTAAGCATTATATGGGATTTTCAATGACAATAATATTCTCATTAATGTGGTGGTCTCCTGAAGAATGTCTAAAACTAAATATAATGCCAAGGAATTTCAACAGAATTATACAGAAACAAAATAATCAGAGATAGTGTCACGACATCCAACACTTTGCATCATACACTGTCATATCTTACCAGTGAAAGATTTAAGGTATACCCCACAAATATAGTGGAAATACAGTACATAAAAAATTGTGGTTTGAGTTAGTCATTTAAAGCTTGCAAGTGTTAATATTGTTTAGGTGATCTGGTGTTTTTTCAAATGAAAGCATACTAGTTTCACTCGCAGCAGTTTTTTTTGTTTACAAGGCAGAAATGTAGCTCAAGTTCTGGTTCAAATATATATTTATTAACTCAGAGCATTGTAAACAATTTGAGTAATTTTTTTTCACCTGTTAACCACATGTTTACTTCTGCTTGTGTTGACAGCCATGCAGCTACTATCCTCCAGTGCCATTGGCGGGGGTATGTTACACGCAGAGACATTCACTTGTGTATGGATCTGCATTGCGCTGCTGTAGTGATCCAGGCGGCATGGAGGGGGTATAGTGCCAGAAAGAGCAACCTATTATGCAACATTACTAGAAGTCCAGCCAGGAGGTGGAAGAAATCTGCAGGTAGTGGAGCAGGAAATAGTAGGGCAGCCACTATTATCCAGGTGAGTCAGTATTAATGGTCAGCACTTGGTTTGTGTTAAAACTGCTGTTAACCTGTTTTACTCTCAACTATAAAAAGCTTTTATTTTGTTCAATAACATTGAAAGAAAAAATATATCCGTCAACCAGAAATATAATCAGTTTTCAGTAAAATATTCTCCAATCACGTGTTTTATTTTGCTGTAAAACACTCCTGGTCACTCTGGGGACAAATAGACTGTTTTTGAGCTTTGCAGTTTAGGTAGATTTGAACCCTGTACTGAACTCATTGATATTAGTTAGCTATGAGACTACAATTTGGCTAATTTCACTAGAAAGGAGAGAAATTTGGTATGATTCCAGTTATTGGTTGTTATCTCGTGAAATCTTCAGAAAGAAGCAAAGGCACCAAAATCTTCGGTGCAATGTTTTTGCTACAAAGTTATCTGGAGCATGTTACAGACTGCAACACAATCTCTTTCTATCGGCTATGGGATAAGAACGGGGGAGTGGGACAAGTTGGGGAGCTCTTTCAAAGAGCCAGCACAGGCACGATGGGCCGAATGGCCTCCTTCTGTGTTGTAAGATTCTATGATTCTATGAAATAAGCTTCTTGGGTAAAGTAACAGAGAGCAAATAGCGCTTGTAATCCAGCATAAGTCACCACCAAAAAGAGAGAATACATGGAGAAAAACCTGGCAGCAATCATAATATGAGAGCTTAAAGGGAAATGTTCACTAGCATGCACAAAATCTCTAGCACAGTTTGCTACAAAGTTATCTGGAGCATGTTACAGACAACAACACAATCTCTGGCTTTTGCTGACCTTTAAATTGCTGAGCATTGGTGTCAATGTTTATGTCATCAGCTAAAGGTGTAGATTGCTTGCAGCTCAGGAACACACTTCTGGCTATCTGTTATTTTCAGAGGATGAGACTTAAAACAAAGTGAGATCATTTTTAAACAATTGGAGATTTTCCACAATTCTGCCCAGTTTTAAATTTTATGGCAAAATGGTCTTATAGGCTGAGACTGAGTGGAATTTCAGGCTATAGATGTTCTATTAGATTTGCTCTGAGCATGGCAAAACTCTGCAACTTATTTTGTATTATATTCATGCGTCCTCTTTAATCGCAATGAATCTTGAAGTTGTGCAGTAATTAATAAATGGATGCTGGCCTGTAATACTAGAGGGAGGTATCAGATTCAATTCAGTTTGCAAAAAGGGGTGGAGGAATCCTTGGAGTATTTTAGACATTTGAATCATGTAGTTTGTTCATTCGTGGCAAGAAATATATATATTCTGTATAATATACATATGTATACACATATTCTGCTAAATGGATGATTGAATAGTTAATCCTCAGTGTATAATTTTGCTTTATTCCAAAACAAATGTGGGAACTGCTTTTGTTTCATGGTTATTTTGCACTTCCATTTTCATTGAAACTCGGTGGTGGATGTATTCAGGCACACTGGCGAGGCTACCTTCTGCGGAAGAAGCTGTCTCATGCTTTAGCCACTGTTCAAGCTGAGGAAGAGGACTACAACTTTGAAGAGGTCAATCTAAGTGAATTTTCATTTGATGAGGTAAGTCTACTCCAAAGAATCCGTCCCCAAAATTTATTGTTAATCTTCAGATTAATAAACAAAAATTCCGCAAGGAGAAACCATTCACTTTACAGCACATTATATTTTGTGTCTGTAATAAACATTGACCCCAACGTTCTCTTTCTGGGATAAAGATTTCACAAGTTCAACATGTTTCTAATATTGAGCCTAACTGTTCACAAATGGTCAAACCAGATTTCTCTAACTGCTGTACTGCCTGACAAAAATGAAGATGCAGATGCTGTGGAAACATATTCAGAGTGCACATGTGCTTTCTCAACACCCACTTCATTAGTAGAAAACAGAAGGAAAGATTATCGGCAGCCTGTATTCTTAAGTTTGTGTAAGTCTCAAGAAGCCAGGCAATGATTGGCCTGGTCCGTTATTCTGTGGACAGGAGCGTTTTCTTTTTTGTTGAACCAAATATTTTTCATCTTTCAAGAGCACAAAGAGGAAGGTTTGAAGGTAAGCAAATCTTTTCTGTATGGTTTCAGAGCACTTGAAGTTCATGACTATAAGGAGTTCATGTGAAGTGCCATTCTTTATTCATTGTCTATGGGTAAGAGGAAAAGAGAAGAAAAATACTGAAATAGGCAATGATTCTTAGTGATTTATTGCTTTTACTGTGGCCCAAATAACACATTTTCACCTGTAAATGAATCCACTTCAGTTTCTCTTCCCTGATAAACACATTTACCCACCAAGTGATTGTAGCAGTATTAATTTGATTTCTGTTAAGACATTTTCAGCAATGTTACATGAAACAAAGCTACTGGCCAATTTAAGTTTTATGAACTGTTTATGGATCCATCATTACCACTGTCGTTTTTTGCCAAGTGGAGTTAATCAGCTTTGCTAAGAAAAACAGCCTATAAATTTCACTTGTAAATGAAATCCTATGGGGAAAAGGACATTGAATTCTCTTTAAAAAGAACCTGAAGACATGATTGTTGTTTTTGGCATAAATAAGCGAAGCCCAAAGGAGTTTGAGGGATGCAGTCTTCTTGGTGCCAAAAGCACTTTATAATAAAGACATTCAATTTAATGATAAAAGCATCTCTATCATATTAACACTGGCATCTTAAAAATGATTTTGACATCTGATGAACGCACATGAGTAAGGCAACTATATTGCCGATACATCAAGTTTTTAAATAATAAATAATCTCTTTATCAATACTAATTGGTTCAAATTCGACCCCTTCATTTAGGCTGCCTTGGAAAAAGACTGGGCAATAGTGGACTCTCAGACATTTCCTTCCTATGCTCTCCTGCATGCAAACCATTTGCTTCATCTAAAGGTAATGTACCATGCAACAGAAACAAGTTAGTTATATTGCTCTGTTTTAAGTCTTTAAGGCCAATGCTGTAATTAATCAAGAAATGCATTGCCGTGCAAACTAATTACTGCAGAAAGCTCTGACCACCGCCGCCGGCAACAGATGTCATTTTTCATGCTGCTTTGCTTAGAAAATTGGTTCTTTATTTTGGATTGTTTTCAGCACTTTACGCTGCAGTGGCAAATAAATGATACACTACAGCTGTAAATTTGGCATGAGATTAGAAGGGAAGGACTAAAAATGCGTTTTGATAAAGAAGAAAATGACAGAAGCAACATTTCAGACAGAATAGATAACAACTGAAAAGTTGCTATTAAATCAAGGCTAAGCATGCACTGGAACATTGTAAATTGCTGCAACTCAATTTATTTACCTACTTACTTGTATTTTCCATTTTTCTATCTGTCATAAAAGATTCAGGAGATGAGTTATTTATGTGTGTGAAGGAAGGAATTAATAATTATTGAAAACTATCTCTGAGGGCACATTTTAAACTCTCAACCAATTAGAATTCTTTTCAATAAGAACAAAATAATTCTGCCCAAGAGGTTAAATCCTAAAAACAGCATTAACAGCCCCTTCAGTTGCTCCTTATCAGAATGTAGCTCACACTGTATCAAAGCTGGAAAATTCTATATGTAGTGTGATTTGACTGTTGTAGTCAAGGTATAGTTTGATGTACAAAACAGTGAGCTAGCAGCAATACTGCTAAAAGATGCTAAACAATGTTTGAACTTTACCAGCTCAGACTTTCTTCATTTTGTCAGTCGTAAAATGATGTGCTGCTGCTTTTCCAATAGGTGTTTTCTTTTTGCATGTGCGTTTTTGTGGTATTTTTCTGCTTAGTGACGGTGTCTGGAGCTACGCAAACACTCAATGATGTTTGGTGACCTTGTGAGTGCATGCAAGCTGTCTCTCATGTGCAGTGATTGACACTGAGCTTTTTTTATTAGTGCACCTTTGTCTTTCTTTCCGTTTCTCTCACTGCTAAATGAGTGAGCTAAATGCTATTAACCACATCCAAAAAAAAGCTCTCAACAGCTGAAAATCAGTCCACAGAGAGGAGTGCCTTTCTGAAGTAAAGGAAGTTTATTTAACTTAAATGTCTTTAAAATAAACCACTTTGAAATCTCCGGGACATTCCAAGCTCTTTGTATGAATATAATAATAAAGAAAGACTTGCCTTATCCTTTACATGGCTGTTTTGAATTCCAGCTAAAATGCCCTGTAAAATGGCTTCCCTGGCAAATAATCAAGTTTATTTAGCCCTGCTAACACAACAATATGTTGTGGAATTAATTGCAATTTGTAACTCATATTTAAACTAAAACAAAATTATAGTTTAGACATGTCAGGTTATATTAACCTGCACTGCATTCTGCCTTTGTTTGCTGCCAGCACGCAAATCATACTAGCTGCTTGATTCGAGTTCCAGCATTCTTAAAGTTTTTCAAAGCGGGATGCTTATGAACCAGCAGCCTTACCTCATCTGGGTGGAGAACATGAGAACAGAAGTTGGCACAGATGTACCAGACAGATAGTGGACTGCAGTATTTATTAGGGAGCCATCCTATTGCTCAGTATGTACCAGAAGCTGTGCATCATCAGGCTGGGATTAAAGAGAAGTTACCTCATTCAAAAATGCTATTTATGTCCAAGGTAGCATCAGCGGCAAAATGCTTGATTCAAAGCCAGAGTTCAGGAGTTTTGATTCCAATCTAAAATGACATTCAAATTTTCTGACCATCAATAGGTTTTATGCTTCTATTTCTTGGCGAGGTCAGTCAGTGGAGTCTTTGTACTAGGTATTATACTAGGTTTCCAACGGAATGTCGGAATTGAGCCAGCCCTCTGTGGCGGTCTCGGTAGTCCAGTTCCTGAGCCATGCGGATCCGCAATATTCCAGGGCACTGCTGATGACAGAACAACCAGCCTGGCTCATCGGAAGGACTTGGAAGAGCAGACCAGTCACTGGGGTCAGGGAATTATCCCCCTCAGCTCCTGGTAACCTTCAAGAGCCAAAGCTCTAATGGGTAGGGTGGTCCTAGCTGGACAAGCAGTGGGAAAGCTTGCCAGACAGTGATATCGATGGCAAGCTATGCAATTTTAGCTGGTTAGACGCCAGCAGTACTCCAACGCACACTCTGGCTCTTGCCAACCTGTGCCTAATGCTTTCTGGAATTAGGTAAGCAGAATACGTCCCTCCAGGAAGAGAGTGAGCATTCTGTTCCAAAAATCTATTTCTGGAATTTCTATGTGCAGGTGCGATGCATGGAATTCTCAGTTTGGTTTGGATACTCTTAAGAATGGTATTGGTTTTCCACATGTGTCAGACACCCGGCTGACAAAAAAAAACGGGATGAAAGTCAGACCCTTCTCTAATTTACTGATGGGTATGAGACATTTAGACCAGTATGTGTGTGTCTGTGTGTGTATGTATGCATGTATGTATGTATGTATTTGTTCCCCTTTTTAGCAGCTTCTTGTTTCCACCAGGAAAGTAGAATGTGCTGAGATACGTATTTTATTAATTGATCAATAATGTTCAATAACACCTGATAGAAAATGAATTTAGGCGTGTATATGGCTGAACAAAGACCACTGGGATTATCTAGTTTAACCCTACATACATACATACATACATACATACATACATACATACATACATACATACATACATACATACATACATACATACATACATACATACATACATACATACATACATACATACATACATACATACATACATACATACATACATACATACATACATACATACATACATACATACATACATACATACATACATACATACATGCAGGCAAAACATCTATTTCTGGAATTTCTATGTGCAGGTGCGATGCATGGAATTCTCAGTTACCATACATGCATACATACATACACACACACACACATACTATTCTAAATGTCTCATACCCATCAGTAAATTAGAGAAGGGTCTGACTTTCATCCCGTTTGTTTTGTCAGCCGGGTGTCTGACACATGTGGAAAACCAATACCATTCTTAAGAGTATCCAAACCAAACTGAGAATTCCATGCATCGCACCTGCACATAGAAATTCCAGAAATAGATTTTTTGCATGCATGCATGCATGTATGTATGTATGTATGTAGGGTTAAACTAGATAATCCCAGTGGTCTTTGTTCAGCCATATACACGCCTAAATTCATTTTCTATCAGGTGTGTACCTGTTATCTAGTCAGGTGTTATTGAACATTATTGATCAATTAATAAAATACGTATCTCAGCACATTCTACTTTCCTGGTGGAAACAAGAAGCTGCTAACAGAGAGGAAAGGGGAACAAATATAAATTAAACGAATGATGTTCCACTTTTAAAAGAAAACATTACATTGCAGACAGAAAGGGAATATTACTTCTCAAATGAGTGTTATCATTGATATATTTGCAAAGTTATAATTTTACAATTTGTGATATTAAATGAGGAGAATAGAACAGTATCTGCAAGACTCGGGTTAACTAATAACAAAAACAACAAGAACAACATGTATTTATATAGCGCCCTTCACGCGGATGTAGCGTCGAGGAGGCTTGATAGTGGCGGAGTCTGTTCCCAATGATGATGTAAAATAATTGGCATAACCTCCTTTTAAGCTATACAACTGCAAAAAACAATGCTTATGTGCATGTAATTTCTATTGTTACCCCTTATTAACATTCTTAGCATGAGGCCCAGTTTGATATTGTTAAATGGACAAAATTGTCCATCATTGGGAGATTTCTGTCTATTAAGTTGCTGAACTGCAAGCGTTCTGGATGCTACCCTGCATGAGGGGCACTATATAAATGCAAGTTGTTGTTGCAATATTTAAGATTGCTTTTAAGTTTTAGTGCCAGTGAAGTTCAAAAATACTTTTTATAGGGTTCGACAACTTCAGCAATAATAGATTATTATTTGCTAACTTGGTAAATTATCTTACAAGATAGATGAAAATGTAATTTTAATGATATGTTCGAGAGTTCTTTTACATAAAATACAGTTGTCACTTGACAAACAAACTGAATTGGAACTGCTTTTCCAGCCTCCTGCTCATTATGCTCCTGCTGACAGAAGTTCCTCTGATTTGCCATGGAACCTACAGCAAGCATGGCTGGACAATAACAACACTACAGCAGGGAAATATGAATATCCCTCCACTCTATTGACTTGTTCCAGTTCTCTACATACTCCAAGGTAAAAACAGAACAAATATCTAAGTGACAAAAATGACCTATTGCTTTTAAATTGTCAATTGTTTTTATATGATTTAACATTGACAGATTAGGGAGTAAGAAACAAAAAGATGTATTTTATGTTTATGTGACATTTTCTGGGAATGGGTAGATCTACAGATCAAAATGGAAATAAAATATAATCACTCAACTAAAACTTAAATGTAGGAACAGAATCACTGAATATTGATGCTATCTTATGATTGTGTTCGTGCATGCTGTAAGCAGAGTAAGCTGTTTGATTGGATAGTGGATATTTTTTTAAATAGAATAACGTTAGACACACAACACAGAATGAAAGGATCAAACTGCTCATGAAAGATAGCAGAGCATGGATCATATTGCTTTTCTTTCTCTGCCTCAGTGATTTTGCCATTGGTTTCTGTTTAACTCTGGTGTTCTTTGGTGACTTTTAAAATATACAGGCAGTTTCTCTTAATGTCTACAAGACATGCAATTCTTCTCCTTATTCAAGTCAATTGAAAGTTTATCTCGCTTTGTTTTGAATCACATGATATGACCAGCCATGCTTTTCGTCAATCTTTTTTTTCATGTCTGATTTAATATCAGTTCAGATTTTCTTATAAAATTAACTTTTAGATTTTTAAATGTATTTTCAAAAGTAACATTCAGGAGCCATTTTTTGTGCAGTACGTTGGGGTTGATGATGGAATTCAGGTTCCACGTCATCTGAAGCTTTTGAAAATACCATTCTAACACACTTCTATTTGCCAACTGTCAAAATTAAATGTAAGAAAACAACCAATCTTTCAATATTTTTTCTGCTAATTATGAATGTTTTCTCTGAATGTTCTAAAACTGGAATTTATCTGGGTACAAATTCTATATATGTTTTCAGTAGATGACAGGGGAATAGTGTTTATTCTTATAAGTTTTGTTAGGACTGGTGGTCAATGCACTATATTGTTTTGTTGTAGAACAGTGTTTCACTAATTTGAATAGCTCTGCAGAAAACAGTACTGTTTAAATGCAGATGCAGTTAAAGTAAGTTTACTCTGTTTTAAATGGACATTGATTTCACACTGATTTCTGTTTTGATTTTTTGATGAAGTAACGGAGAGAGTGGCTGAAGGTATGCAGTTGATGTAATTTATATGGCATTTTCAAAAGGCATTTGATAAAGTGCCACATAAGAGACAGGCTGGAAGACAGAAAGCAGAGAGTGGTGGTGAACGGTTGTTTTTCTGACTTGAGGAAAGTATGCAATAGTGTACCCCAGGGGTTAGTATTGGGACCATGGCTGTTTTTGATCTATATAAATGACCTGGACTTGGGTATAGGGAGTACAATTTCCAAGTTTGCAGATGATACTAAGCTAGGAAAAGTAGTAAACCATGAGGAGGATAGTAGCAGACTGCAAGGGGACTAAACAGACTTGTAAAATGGGCAGACATGTGGCAGATGAAGTTTAATATGGAGAAATGCGAAGTGATGAATTTTTGTGAGGAAGAATGAGGAGAGACAATATAAGCTAGATGGTAGAATCTTAAAGGTGGTGAAGAAACAGAGAGAGCTGGGGCTTCATATAAGTAAATTTTTGAAGGTGGCAGGACAGGTAGATAAAGCTGTTAAAAAAAAGCATACGGGATACTGGGCTTTATAAATAGGGGTTTAGAATACAAAAGTCAGGAAGTTATGATGAACCTTTATAAAACACTGGTTAGGCCTCAGCTAGAGTACTGTGTTCAGTTCTGGGCACCACACTTTAGGAAGGATGTCAAGGAATTGGAGAGGGTGCAAAAGAAATTTACCCGGATGGTACCAGGAATGAGGCACTTCAATTATCAGGAGAGGCTAGAGAAGCTAGGATTATTCTCCTTGGAGCAGAGGAGACTTCATAGAAGTTTTCTAAATTATGATACACTGGCGGGTGAGTCGGTAACCCGAGGACACCGATTTAAAATAGCTGTTAAAAGAAACAGGGGAGGTGAGGAGAAATGTTTTCACACAGCGAATTGTTCGGATCTGAAATGCATTGCCTGAAAGGGTGGTGGAAGCCGATTCGATAACAACTTTTAAGAGACAAGTAACTAATTATTTGGGGAGGACAATTTTGCAGGGCTATGGGGAGAGAAAGGGGGAGTGGGATTGATTTTCATAGTTCTTTTCAAAGAGCCGGCACAGGCATGATGGGCCGAATGGCCTCCTTCTGTGCTGTATAATTCTATGATTTGAATTCCTGATGCTGAAACTGTCTCACTCAGGCATTCCAGAATTAGGGTAGTACACAGAGCAAAAAATACATACAAAATATACAACATGATAAGGTGTGTTATTTTACTGAAATGTTTAAGATGCAAAACTGTTGAATGGAACTACAGTTTGAGTTATGTGATAAGTTACGTGTGTCTCCCACTCCCATCTCTGGGATGAACATAAAGAGGACTAAATTCAGAATCCCTCCAACTGGCAAATTTGACCTTCAACCCTAATCCTGCTTCGGCTGGGTTCAAAGGAAACGCCCAAAGGAATATGATTCAAGACATTAGCACTGCTCAGAGTTCAGGCAGCGTCGCTAAACAAATTGAACTTTACTTCCTTGGTTTATGAGAACATGTGACTTTCAAATTGTGTTACTGCATTTCAATATACTCATAGCTATTGCAGAACATAAAAAGGCCATTTAACTCATTGAGCTAATTTTGGGTGCTATCTTCTCCTCTATCTTCTATCCTTTGAACACATTTTACCTTAATAAAGTGGTACAGGAAACAGGCTATTCGGCCCAATGAGCATGTGTTAATGTCTAAACTACACATGAGCCCCCACCCATCCTATTCCCAATCACCTATACTCCACTATTCACTTCTCTCATGTATGTATCTTTCTCCTTCATATTATTTTTGCACTTTCTCCTTTTCTTCTTCAAGTAGTTATCCAGTTCCATTTAAAATTTGATTACAGTCTTGGCTTCAGTTGCCACTATCTCAGTGGTTAGTGTCACATTATAATGTTCTTCACCTCAGTTGTTTTTTGGTGCTGTTAGGTCACACAGCAGAACCGTATCACAGTTCTCTGAGACGACCTCTTGCAGTGAGCAGAGATTGACATCGAAAAAAGAAGAAAAAATCTCAGAAGAATGGTAAATGCAACTTGCCTAGTTAGAGACTTTTTTTCATCTAAATAACAGCAAATAAAATAAATAAAGCTTCTTGCTCAGTGCTTCCTGTTATATTTATCATGGGTAATGAATTTATTTACATCTCTGGAGATTGAGTGGCGTTGCTCAAGCAAATCAAACAAAACATCTGACGAATTACTCTTGATTTCTGAGTAATGCACAATGTTAGGAGCTTTTGTACAGCATGACTTTGTTGCTGTAAAATATCAAGCTGTAAAATATACATTTTTCACATAAAACAATTAAAGGAATTTTATTGAACACATTTTATTGAACAAAATGCATTAATTTATAATATTTTCTGAAAGTAATGGTGATACTTATTGAAAGACTTGGAATATTAATCCACAGTCCTGAAATAATTGAACTTGATTGAAATTTGACAGTATTCTTCAAAGTGAATGCAGTGGTTGTTTTGATTGAATTGCATTCCACCAAATGTTTGTAATCTGGTGTGTTTTTTTGCTAAATATTATTCTCTTTGTTCTTGGTGCACCAGGAAAGAAGGCTTGCTTTCCAACATTTACCGATATTTTATTTTTCTCTGTTGCTCATAGGGGCTTTAAGAATACTCAAACAGCTCAGCTAATGCTGAAACGAGCTCAGAAGATGAAATCCAAGAAAGCACAGGGAAAAAAATTGCTTGGTATGTTTACATTCCCCCCCGTGACTTGGCAGTCATCCAACAAGTTAGTCTGCTAGGCAAGGAACTACGTTCTGTTCTTGTAGTCTTTGCCTTTTCTAAGAAAAATCTTAACTCTTTCATGCTCCCTAAGAATAAGAGTGTCTTCAGCCAAGTACAAGAAATGTTCTGTTTTTTGACATGTTATTAGAATGCACTATGAGTGTGACTAGTTGTATTGTAAGCATGGGATTGTAATTTCACACACATGTAAATTCAAAATAATTGATCAGACATGTGAAGCAATGTGCAACATTCAGTGAGAGCCCTTGATGTTTCAGCATTAATTTAATGACACACTTAAGGTTCTGCCATGATTTATACATCCATGAAACAGGCAATCCCACCAGTGACTGACTTTTAGGTGTTCTTTCACCCTTGAAACAAGCGCAGCATAATGTTTGTCTGCCTCCCGGCACTCAAGAAACTCTGTCTTTTCACATTCATAAAACAGGTGCAATTGTGCAACACTGTTGAGATTTCATCGACATTTTCTAATGATTTAACTAAAACCTTAATTACAATTCATCAATAGAAGAAAGCAATTATTTGCTCAACTTCGATGCAAGCAAACCACTCTTATATATTGCTAGGCACCTGTTTTATTTGATATCTCATCATTCGCTGTGCGCAATTGGCTGCTACAACAACAACAACTTGGATTTCTACAGCGCCCTCCACGCCGGACGGCGTCTCAGAGCGCTTTACAGTAACGGATCCCGCAGAGGTCTTCAGCAGAGAAAAAAGGGCTTCAGCAGAGAGTTTCACCCATAGAACACAGTCATTACACTTTACAGTGTAGCTGTAAAGCGCTTTGAGACATCTCAACAACATGATAAGGCGCTATATCAAATGCATGGATTATTATTTATCTTACAGTCGCAATAATTACTGCAATAAAACTATTTTTTTTTTAATGTCACAGCCTAATAACTGATTCACTAGCAGCACTGATAGAGCCTGAGAACATGCCACTCATCTGTCCTCTTATACAGGGAGTAATGAAACTAATAAAGAATAAAAACAATAAATATCAGTGCTTGAGGTCATTATGAATACAAGGATTATTATTAGTTCAGGAGTGGCTTAAGCAAATTGGTCACTTCAAACATTTAGTGAATTCAGATATTTTTACTTTGGCTTCACTTAGTTCTTTCATCATTAGATTAAAAATGCGAAACATTTAACATTTCAAAGGAAACAAAATTAATCTGACAGTGGACAAAACACTTCTTGGAATTTCTGTACCAATTACTAATGACCATCCTTCAGTCAGTGAAAAACACATAAATTTTACAAATTCTAAAAGTTTTTTTTGTGAACTTTTGAAGTCCAGTATTGTAAAGTAAGTAGGTAAGCGCTCCGGGATGCTACACCGCATGAAGGCCGCTATATAAATGCAAGTTGTTGTTGTCGTACTCATCCAGAAAGCTTTCCATACAACCTATGTGTGTATGAAACAACTAGATTGGCTAATGTTGATGTTTTATAACCCTATTTAGTCCAGTACTATGTGGTTTAGTTGCAGATTGAACAGGCATGATCTTCTTTTAGCTATTACTTTATTTTCACAAATATATCTTTGACTGTCGAGCCCTGTGATTCAGTAAAAGCTGATTAGTCCAGTTGAATATTATTAAAGCTTCTGGGATAGCTGCAATTACTGTGGGCTATAAATTACTCACGTTTTCAGTTGTTTTCACCAGGCCTTTCAGCTCTTGAGTTGTTATACTCTAAGGATCAATTTGGGGGAAATGGTTTAGTGCAACATACAGTAAATACTCCACACATCAGTTCAAAGCAAATTAATTCCAGTTTACGTTGAACATGCTGATGCTTATTTTATTTTCTGTGGATGCTCGCTCTGTGCCAATAAAATTGCCACAGACATCTAGAGAATGAAGGCCAGGAAAGTTAGAATAGTCAAAGCCAAAATTTCAGTCCTATGGGTTCTTTTAAAATTTAGTTTTCAAATGATCTGCTATGCGTGGTGGTTGGAAATGACAACAAAGCCTTCCAAAGACAAATCTGAACATTTCAGTTCTCATTTATCTAGGGGTGGGGGCTAATTTTATTATTATTTAAACATTGTGACTTTTCATTTTTGTAGAGGTAACTGAGAATAAACTTCAACATTTCTTACATTTTAAATATTATTGTAGTTTCGCCTTTTCTCAATTTCGACTGCACAATGTTGAACGAATGTATTTGGATTTTGTGAAGTTTTAGCAATGGGCATGCATTATGTCGAGCATGTAGTCCTACTGAATTTAAAAACTAAGCCTTGTTAAGGCAGCTTTGAACCAAGCTGATGACAGCTCCTCTATCCTTGCCTAGACCCAACTGTGCGCCTGGCCTTTTTCAAAAACAACAAACTACATCCTCCTGTGAAGATACCAGATAAGATACGTGCCCGGGTGGAGTATTTTGGTGGTAAGTGAGAGGAATACGTATGTGGAGTTGTCAAAGGGCATAAAATGTATGCCAGTATTTCTAATAATATTGTTATTTAACATTAAGCCTGAGTACATGATGCTTGGTTCTATTTGGCACAGTGATTGCTTCCAATTTTTCTTCTTTTTGCATTCATGTTTTCTCTGGCTTGAGAAACATACTTTTAACACTCCCACCCCCCCATAGCTAAGATCCTAGACAAATACAGAAACTCAGTTTAGTATTCAAAAATCTCAGAGAACCAGCCTTTATCTGTTACTGTTCTCCAAGTAGAAATAATCTTGGAGTTCTGCCATTAAACAAAATGCATTTTAGAGAGATAGCAAATTAAAATACAATATGCTCAGGTTGAGTGTTTCAGAGGTAGGTGAGAGTAACAGCCCTGTGAATTATGCATTGAGGTCAAGCATGTCGCAAGACACAATATTTATCTTTTCTTTCCTTTTGGCGCTTTATAATAATAAATACATGAATATTCCTTGCATTTGATATTGCACTTTTCACGTCTTCTAGAAGTCTCAAAGCGCTTCACACAATATACTGTAAAGTGAATTACCTGTATATTTGTGGGTGAAACGTGGCAGCCAATTGCGCACAGCAGTGTCCACAAATGGTCATGGATTTAAACCGAATCATCAACCGAATTATTATCAGGCGCATGGAATAAGGAAACTTGCCCAACATTTCGCCCTGCCAGGAATAGAACCCAGGTCTCTCACTTGCGAGGCGAGTGCACTAACTACTGAGCTATAGGACCTTGTGTCAAATTTTTCGGATCCTGGTGGTGAAAGCTGCGCTTCTGCCATTCCTGCAATTTGGAATAATTTGAATATTAATCTAATTTCTGCTTTCAAATGACTGTACGAATATTAACTTTGGAAAGCTGCCCTCTTGATTTTATGAGCCCTTAAATGCCCTCAAGACTAACCAATATTGAACACTTTGTTAGATTGTAATCTTTTTTTAAATGAATTTGTGCTTATGCATGCATCTTTACAACACATTTTCCCTTGCCAAGCCTCCAAAAGCTACAGTTTAAAATAGAATAAAGTACTCAAGCAAGTCACACCACATTTATGTTAGTGATGCATTTTTCACAGTCATGGTCTTATAATTTCTAAGAAATGCATTAACGCTGTCTGCAATTTTCATTATACTTCAGTTTCTTCTGAAGAGATTCCTGCAATCTTCCACATTAGCACTTTGGAGGGGGTTGTGTTCTGCTGAGAGATAAAATCAATTTAAAGCCAGTTTTACAATTCATGAGAGATGAAACCTTAACACTATTGAGTTAGCACTAAAATTTTCACTTGGAGGCTGGTCTCACCCGAGCAGTGTCACGTCTACGCCTGATATAGAGGTCATTGAAGGGACGTCTTGAATAATTCAGATTAGGTGCTTTCTATTCAATTGATCAATCAGGGGACTAATATTTACTGATCCAACTGTGTAAAGCAGAATTTCAGGCAACAAAACATCAACTGAATACACTGGAAGTTAACAATGAACCAGGGTTGATGTACTGAGTGATGATGGTAAACCTGAAGATTTGCACAGAACTAAATCAATCCAGCATAGTGTAACAGCACCATGTAGGAGTGATACATACATTTCAATAAAGCACTGGTGCAAGTGGGAGGTTCGTCTCATGAATGTAGAGAATGACATTGTGACCCAGGAGCATATTGTCTGATTCTATTGTTAACATCAGCCCGATTGGTGACAACTGAAACAATCTTGTAGAATGAACTGAAAATGGATTAACGAGCTGGATGAGTATGTAAACTATAATAATTTTGCAGTTTTAACTTAAATTCAAGCTGCTCCAGGCATTTGGACATCGAACTGTGGTGTAAGAGGAAGTGAACAGCCACACAATCTGTTAATTAAACTGGATCATTCACAACAACAAGATTACATTTGTATCGCGCCTTTCATGTCGGGAGGACGTCCCAAGGTGCTGGACAGTGTACAGAATTTCAGACCCGAGCTGGGGTCAGGGAGGGAGAAGGGAGGGGAAGGGAAGGGGGGTGACCGATGGCATGGTCGAAGAGGAGGGTTTTGAGGCGGGACTTGAAGAAGGCTAAGGAGGGGGTGAGGCGGAGTGATTAGGGGATGGAATTCCAGTGGCTGAAGGCTTTACCCCCAATGGTGGGGCGGGTGGGTCAGAGGACGTGGAGAAGGCCAGAGCCGGCTGAGTGGAGGGAGCAAGCAGGTTGGTAGGGGATTAGGAGGTCGCAGAGGTAGGGAGGGGAAATGCCATGGAGGGCTTTGTATGTGAGGACCAGTATCTTGAACTGGATCCTCTGAAGGATAGGAAGCCAATGGAGTCAGGCGAGAATGGGGGAGATGGGGTCACGGAGTTTGGTGCGGGAGAGGACACGGGCTGCAGAGTTCTGGATTATCTGCAGTTTATGGAGGAAGGAGTTGGGAAGGCCGACAAGCAGGGCATTTGCATAGTCAAGCCTGGAGGTGATGAAGGCATGAACAAGAGTTTCAGCGGCCTGAGGGGTGAGGTAGTGGTGGAGTCGGGCGATACAGAGGTGAGGGAAGGCAGAGCGTTCATAATAATAAGTTCAGATTCCCTCATAAATATCTTAGCATATCTTAGCATGTGATGTGCAGGGTTTGCAAAGCGGTTTGGATTAAAATCGATAGTGCTGATTTCCACAGCCAAATTTTGAAGGAACAACATTTTGGAATTGGCATAATCCTCAATTTTTTTCCTCATGCATTTACATTCATGTCCAAGTTCTGTGACTTTACCATCCAGAGGAATTTCTCTTTATTTGCATAGGTGAGATATGGGGTTTTGCGTCACTCAAACTTCTAGGCTGTAAAGGGACCATGCAAAAATTGATTCTTGTTTACTTTTAAAAAAAAAGGAATATTACAATTACTAGGGTGAGATTGAAACTGGCAATGATCTTCCTCCCTCTTTGCACTTCCAGTCAGCTAATCATAAGATAGCATTGAAGGCAGTTGTACCCAAGTCCAGTGTCTAAATAAATGTGGCCTTTCAGGCTGTAACCTTGATAGGACTCAATAACAGGGGCATAAGCGAGGAAAAAGATTGGGTGGGAGGGGTGGGGTGTTTGGGGGAGAGAGGTAATAAAGAATGACGAGACAACTTGAGCAGAACTCAATTTCAACTTTTTAATGAAATTTGTCATACTTTCATTCAAACCGTTCCAATAGTTATGCCTTTGCCAGTTCATAAATTGACAGTTTGGGATTATGCAATCATCTAAATTTGAGAAACCTAACTGGGGGCTATCTGCTGTCACAACCATTACTAAAGTAGTTACAATAGAGAGAAGTGTTGAAATGAAAAAAAAAACAATTCTGCTCAGGAACACTGTTTCTCAATTCTTTCTCAAGTCTGTTGAAGGACAGTTTAATATGGTGGTATGTAATCAGAGAGCGAAAAATATCAATTTATGAAACTGTGGAATTAATAGCTTTCTATCAGGCCCTGAATATGTAAACTGATAGTGACTTCAACCAGGTAGATATAGCCAATAAAATCTAGAAAAGAACTAGAATAACATAAACACATGGAGTTGGATAACTTGGAAAAAATCTGTGTTGTGTTTGTGTTAATCATCTCCAGAAGAAATCCAAACTGATACTTGAAACATAAAACTTTTTGGAGAAAGCAGTAAGGGCCTGAGGCACCAGTGATCTCAAGGAGCTCCCTATGGGTCAAAGCCACTTTTCTGGCAGAGTGCAACCCCAGTTCACAGCAATGCCTCTCACAGAGCTGTAAAATACTGCATGAATTGTACTGTGTATGTACGCATTTACCTCAGGTTTCTGCCCCACCTCCCCCTCTCCAAACGCTCTGTCACTTGCTGCAGGATGAAATTTGAAATGAAATCTGTGCCTAATTTTCCAGCCACCCATCCACCAAATCATGATACTGATTTCCTGCAAGCCTGTTTATGTAGTCACTTACATTTTATGTTATATTAATCATGCATTGAAGTTAGAGGGAACTCTATCCTGTTTAAAAAAATATCATGAGTTTGTTCCCAAATAAAATACTCCGCCCATGTTCTAAATAATAATAAACCTTACATTTGGTATTGCGTCTTTCATGTTGGGAGAACGTTCTGAATCGCTTCACAGTTATACGTAAAAGTGTAGTGACTGTAAGTTTTGTGGGTGAATTCAGGAGTCAATTTGCACATAGCAATGTCTCACAAACAGCCATAAAGTAAATGACTCATTTTATTTTGGGGGCATTGTTGGTCAGGATAAAGAAATTCCAATTGCAGTGTTGTGTCCTCTTGCTAGTTTTTCTGCTCTGCATTGTGATTAACATTGGTGTGGCTAGCTGATGGCTAACCCGACGTGCACAGTCAGTCAAAAGCCATTCAGCAAACCCTCCAAGAATGGAAATATGTGCATCATATCCACTTTTGCTGAGGTCCAAATGGAAGCAAGCAACTTCAGAGTTCAGTGACTGATGGTTTTATTTTGAATGTAGAAAAATCATACGGGTAAAATGCCTGTTTCACTTTGTATTTTGAAGTCTATTAGAATAGATTGAAAGCATTTCCATAGTTATGCACCCAGTAACAATAACTGTACTTTGCTAATGACGCATTTTATGAAGAAGTGATATCAGCTAGGTAATATATATGATTTGCACTTCTATATGATATTAATAGTTTTTTTCATTGGGTAAAATTCTACTAAAATGTGGTACAATTGTATTCCTAACCTGCGTGGACTAAACAAGGAAGAGGAGTACTCTTGATATCTTTAGTAGAAAAAATAAATGTGTCCATTTTAGCTTTGTCCACATAAAAGCAACACAAAGTGCTGTAACTGCAAAAAATGAATCTTTGAAAGAATGCTTTTATTTCCTAATAGTAATTTCTGGTGTTCATTGTCTTTATTGCCCATTGTGTTCACCAGAAACATTTCCAGGACATGCTGTTCTGACTGATGTAAAACAATCAGCTTTGTTTATTACTTAATAATTCTGACCACCTAATGTTTGAATGCATGATTTCTTTATAGGCCGAACATTGTATGTTTAAGCTCTATTGAGGACAGTCAAGTTCGAATGAGATACTTTTAACACCCGATGAAATGTTAACCAAGCTCCCCTTCAGCATGTTAGCAACAATGAAAAGAATGCTGCTACTGTTTGAGCCACTACCTTGATTTTCTGGTCACTCATAGCTTTCAACAGTCAAATTCCAAGCTCAAACAGAAAAAGACACTGGGATCAAATACCTTAAGTAGATTCTGCCTGTTGTATGTTGAGGAATGGAAGATAGAAGCACATGGATGGAGGTTTTAGCTTTCAGTAAATCTGATTATCTTTATTTCTGTATAAACGAACAAGGAGCGATCTATTACATAATTATTTTAGAAGAAAAATATAAACTTCATCTACATTGAGTAATCATGTAGACCTTTAAGCAGTTCTGAAAAGTAATACAATGGACACAAAAAAAACACAATCCAAACTATTTGAATGCTATCGTGGAGGATTTTTTCACCTAGCTTTAAGTTGAAGAAACAGTTAATACTTACTTTAAAACTGACAGCACAAATACCCTCCAGCGTCCACTTTTTGCCCTACAACTTTTTCCCCTTTCATTAGAGGGTCTTGACCTGGGTTGCAGACTGTTAATTTTAGCACATTTTGAGTTTTACTTGCCTGTGAGGTGCTAGAATGTTTAGACTCTTCACTAAGTTTTGTTAAAAATAAACATGGAATCTGCCTGCAGATATTTTCATGGCCTCAGATCAGTGCTAGATTTCCTGTTTTACTTGTATAAATATCCCAGACACGGAGTTGATGAAAGTGGCTAAAATAAGAACCCGGCAAAGTCCATGGATTAACAGACCTACGGCCACACTTTCTTTTGTGTGCTCTGAATAAACTGAGAACAAATTGTTACAAATTAGAAGAGATTCTGACTGTAAACCAACAGTTAGGTTCCATTTATTGCCATTTTATTTCTCCAACATGTCAAATGATGTATCATGGAAATCTAAAATATCATTGCATCTTTTTAATATTAGTGGGGCCTGCCATTCACTTTGCAAAGCTTCTTTTATATATTTTGCTTTGTACAAGATCCTCAGCTAAATACTTTTAACTAACAATTTGGAATATTCTTTACTTCAACGGAGTTTCCTTAATGTATTGTATTTCCTATATCACACGAAGAGTTCTTGCAGAAAACATTGCTCATAGAACAGAATACAATTGTTTAAGTAAGAATAGGGACATCATTCTTCCTGCTGTGAGCATAGATTGTGAAATTAATTTTGGAAAATTGTAGGCTTCCATTATGACTACAGTACCATGCTGTGAACTATTGCTTCTATAAAAATAATCCTTGCATTTGATATAGCACCTTATCACATCTTCTGGAAGTCTCAAAGCGCTTCACACAATATATTGTAAAGTGAATTGATTGTATATTTGTGGGCGAAACGCAGCAACCAATTGCGCACAGCAGTGTCCCACAAAGAATCGTGGATTGAGTGACTAAATTATTTTTATTTTTTTCTTGAGAGATTATTATCAGGCGTGTGGAGTAAGGAAATTTGCCCAAGGTTTCACCCTGCCGGGAATCGAACCCAGGTCTCTGACTTGCGAGGCAGGGCGAGTACTCTGACCACTGAGCTCCAGGACTCCTGGGCGAAATATACCACGTGCCTAACAGAAATGTATTCTGTTACTGTGTGCCACATTAAACTTTCAGGGCATCTGGGTCCCTTTCATGAATAACAGCACAGTAATTGTTGAAGTATTTCCCCATCTACTAATTTTTACAAAAATGAAATCTTAGCTTTGAGACACAGTTACAGTCAATCACCATATCCCTAGTCTAAAGTCTATTTTTTATAGTGATCAATGCAGAGAGATGTAAGATGTAAGGATGTCCATTGGAACAAGTAATGGTGCTGTACACAAGTAGTTGAAGACTTTTTAGATCAAATTTTAACCTGCAGATGACCTTGTCTTGTTTATTCAGTGGAGGATTTCGAACCACTGCATAGAGTATCTATTATTCTCCTTTTTAAGAAAATTAATGACAGATGGTCCTGACCCTCAGTGACTGTCACTAACACAGCTCTGAATGACTTCATTCTTTAATAGCTGACATTACCTCTGCCTCCGAGACAGTGGCCTCTGATTGCATGAGATCCTTGAGAGATCAGACTAACAAGCATGACTTCTGATTCTCGATCTACAACTCGTCCTGACTGTGTCGGAATCCTTTAGTTTCTGCCATATTCCTGCATGCTCTTAAGTCTGTATTGTATGGCGATCAGCTCTTTTAGCAAATGAATCTGGCTATGTTAATGATGGTGACTTGGATTGCAATGTATGTTGTGATCTAAAACGCACAGCTAAGGGCAGAAATAAAAGCAGCTCTTCAGTACATCGTTTTCATTCAGTCAACTGTTTGTACAATTGCATTTTAATTCATTTTTATTTTTGGCCTTGTGTTTGCCATTAGCAAGGAAGATTGGAATTCAGAAGAAGACAGAGTGCCTGTACTATTTAATATGGAACCCTTGAGTGAGATTCAAAAATATTTTATACAACTTATTTTGTTTCCCATGTACATGTCTCAAAGATTGGAGCAAGTGATGACTTTTTTTAATATTGATTGCTACACTTAGTCAGGTACTTTAAAAAAAACACTTAGGCACTTAACAGATATCTAGAGGCCAGTTACTGAGGGCATCCGTCGACAGATAATGTGTAAATCAGCAGTCAATGGAAGCAAAGGGGAACTAAAAGATGTCCAGGCAACTAGTTTAAGTATAAGGTGCTTCATTAAAGAGCAGTTCTGATGAGAATAGATTTTATCTTGATCTATGTTAATATCTTAATCCTTGAATCACTGTGATTAAGATCACTTATTTGGGTGCTGATACCCCTCTAGTAAGGGGGGTGGGGGGGGAAAGGTACCAGGTGATGACTGTCTGTTTTAGCTCCCACCTCTTCCTTTGAATATGGAAATCACATCATAGATTGATCTATTCTGTCAATCATTGGTCTTCTGATAAATAGCTGCTTCCATCTTCTTAAATAAAGCAACCGGAGCAGGAAGAAAAGAAAGAAGATAAACAGAGTATAGGTTACAAACCCACATGGGAGAAAAAAAGACTTTTAGAATGGATTAAAAAAAAGCAAAATCAAAAGTTAGAATAACCAAGTTAGGACAAAGGAGAGAATGTGGAAGAAGAATAAAGAAGAGAACATTGAAGGGAAAACATAACAATAGGGCCAATTATAATAATCATTGTATTTGATATAACACCTTATGTCATCGAAATGTCTCAAAGTAATTCACAGAATTTGCTATCAAGTGTAGTGACTCTAAGTAGGCAAATTATGCACATGTCGTTAAAATAAGATGGCATTATAATACTAGATTCTCAAACTACCACCACAGAATAAGGAAATCAAATGACTGACTTCAAACATGTATTTCCTTATTACAGCAGATTAACATGATTTAGAAAGCGCTGAAACACTATATTTATATAGGAGAAATAAGAATACTGTTTATAATATAACCTAACAGAATGCCTTTGGAGTCCTAATCTTTTTTGTGTAAAAAAATATTAGATTTGGAAGTCAATTAAAGTTATATGATCTCAATTCTCTGATGTGCGCGTATTCAAAGTTGAACAGGTTTTGTAGTTTAAAATTGGATTTGTTTCAAATTATTGGTCTTAATTTACTGTGTTGTTTGATTCAGCTCATAAAGGAGAATTAACTGATTCAAAACCAGCTTCACCAGACAGACTACGAAGAAGCAGAGAATTAACCTATCAATGGCTTCACACACAGGTTGTCGATTATGAAACAACCAGTTCCAGAATTATGAAAAAGTAAGATTTTCTTTGTCGGCTGCATGTATTATGAATCTTACAATGTAAAAAGGACCACTGATAGCTTCTGTTGTTCCATTTGTATTTGTTCTTCACACTGCTGTGGACATTGTCCGAGCATGTACACACACACACTTTTAAACAAATCAAAGATGCATGTTTAATACTCTTGATTTATGTTAAATAATAATAATAATAATCCTTGCATTTGATATAGCGCTTTTCACGCCTTCTAGATGTCTCAAAGCGCTTCACAGAACAGACTGTAAAGTGAATTGACTGTATATTTGTGGGCGAAATGCGGCAGACAATTGCGTATAGCCGCATCCCACAAACAGTCGTGGATTGAAGTGTCCAATTTATTATTGGGTTTTTTATCTTGAAGGATTATTATCAGGCATGTGGAGTAAGGAAACTTGCCCAAAGTTTCACCCTGCCGGGAATTGAACCCAGGTCTCTCGCTTAAAGATCCCTTATTGTGCCTTAAAACAATATTTCAGGATTAATTCACTATCTCAACCTCAATAGGAACTAAAGCAATAGATGTTTCAACATTTTCTGGTATGGATATTTAGAATTTGGAATTAGACCAGGATTGTGACTTATCTGTGAGAAAGTACTCAGTCCTGTAAAGTTAATATCATCCACGCAGTTGAGTTGAGCAAGGTAGTCAGGTAGAACTCGTCTGCACCCAGTGGACAAAGCTTGTGACGACGTTCTATTGGAAATTAGACCTATACGCTTGTTCTTGATGGGATTCATACAATTACAGATCGAACTTCCCTAATCATAGGCTCTGGAGATTAAATTAATTGATGTTCATTCACACATAGCCTAGAAAAAAGATGAGAAAAGACACACAGGGTGTCAAAAGTAAGTTTGTAATACAAAACAATTGTACTGTTTGAGGTACTGTTATCTAATATTCTTCACCTGGAACAAAAATAACCTGGTTATTGCCTCCTTCGGAGCAGCGGTTAGATCTCTCGAGATGTGCACTGCCAAAGGAACTGACCCAAACTTCTGTGGTTACTGAAACAGAAAAGATTTTAACTTAATACTCTCATTAGTGTAAGATTAGAATGTGCATTATATGTGCATTGGAATGTGCAGATTAAAGCTAAATATTTTGAGTAGGGGATCAGGCAGTAAGAGTGCAGCCCCACATGATGAGTCAGCTGGAGGCAAGAGCAATACACTGCATATAGGCTGCCTCTTGGGAAATTGCTAAAATACTATTAGATGTCAATTGCTTTTTATGTAACATCTACAAAGAGCTATATAAGTTGTGTGACCTATTGCAGGCACCCATACATGCACAACTCTTTAAATAACTCAGTATCTGAATAAACCCCACAACAAAAATCATTATATATAATTCTCCACCATGGGGAAGGCTCTTATGTTACAGATACAGATGTAGGCCAGCACATAATGGACTCATTTAAGAAACAGCTTGATGCTGTAATAGGAAAGCAGAAGGATTGGTATTCTGAAAGGATGAGATCAAATGGGCCGAAGGGCCTTCTTCTTCCAAACCTCTCGTGTGATCTCCTTTATCAATACAGATTGTAATTTTTTTTTGCAAAAATGTTTGCCTTCCCAGCTGGAATCGATGCTGTTGACTTTAGCCGAATAGGATCAGGTTGCATTCATAAAGGGTTGCTTTGGTTCAGTTAATAGAAGACATTTTTTTAGTGTTGTCATGGTATGCAGGAATTACGTGGACCAACTCATTGTGTGGACCAAGTTATGCGATCTTACTTGATGTTTTAAAGGTGTTTGACAATGCAGAACAGACATACCAGATAAAAACAATCTCGGTTGAGTAATGCCTATTTTTGGGTCCTAAGCCTTTATTCTAGTCTATTACATACCATCATCAGCTAGTGCTTAGCCAGTGACATGGAATATGCTGACTATAAGCATAATATAATCCATTATTTTTTATGGTACTCCGTAAACCTTTACCTGTGTGAATCTCATAGAATATTTCGGGAAGGCCATAAAGGGTGGTGTCTGCTATCTCTTGATGTAACAACAACAACAAGATTACATTTGTATAGCGCCTTTCATGTCGGAAGAACGTCCCAAGGTGCTGGACAGTGTACAGCATTTCAGACCCAAGCTTGGGTCAAGTGTGAAAAGGGAGGAGAGGAGAAGGGGAGTGGCCGATGGCATGGTCGAAGAGGAGGGTCTTGAAGGAGGCAAATGAGGGGGCGAGGCGGAGTGACTGGGGGATGGAATTCCAGAGGTTGGGGGCAGAGTGGCTGAAGGCTCTCCCGCTAATGGTGGGGTGGGTGGATCAGGGGACATGGAGCAGGCCTGAGCCAGCTGAGCCGAGGGAATAGGTGGGTTGGTAGGAGGTTAGGAGGTCGCAGAGGTAGGATGGAGCGAGGCCATGGAGGGCTTTGCAGGTGAGGACCAGGATCTTGAACTGGATCCTCTGAAGGATAGGGAGCCATTGGAGTTGGGCGAGAGTGGGGGAGATGGGGTCACGGAGTTTGGTGCGAGAGAGGACACGGGCTGCAGAGTTCTGGATTATCTGCAGCCTGTGGAGGGAGGAGTTGGGAAGGCTGACAAGCAGAGCGTTTGCATAGTCGAGCCTGGAGATGATGAAGGCATGAACAAGAGTTTCAGCGGCCTGAGGGGTGAAGTAGTGGCGGAGTCGGGCGATCTTATGGAGGTGAGGGAAGGCAGAGTGGGTCATGGCTTGGATGTGGGGAAGAAAAGACAGTTGAGGGTCGAACAAGACACCTGGGTTCCTGACTGGCTTGGTGAGCTGTAGTGAGCAATCATGGAGGTTGATGCTGCCAGAGCCTGAGGTGCTGAGGCGCTGGTGCGAGCCAATCAGGAGGGGCTCAGTCTTGTTCACATACAACTGTAGGAAATTTGCCCTCATATCCAGGACTTGATGTCCGACAGGCAGTCTGTCAGGACAGCAGTGGTCCTGGAGTTGAGGGTGGAGGCAGAAAGATAGAGTTGAGTGTCATCCGCATACATATGGACTTTGACCCCATGTCTGCGGATGATGTTACCAAGGTGAAGCATGTAGATATTAAAGAGGAGGGGGCCAGGACAGAGCCCTGGGGGACGCCAGGCATGGCATTCCAGGGGCTGGAGGAGAAACCATTAGAGCCAAAAAAGTGGAGACGGTGAGATAGAAATCGAACCAGGCAAGGGCAGGTCTGTGAAGATTGAGTAAAGCAGGGAGGCGCTGTATGAGGATGGAGTAGTCAATAGTGTCGAAGGGGTAGACAGGTCGAGGAGGACAAAGAGGCAGAGGGAGCCCTGATTACAGATGTTCAGAATTTTCATTAGTGACTTTGTCCAGAGCTGTTTGGAGGGGTTCAAAGAGTGAATGGTGAGAAAGAAAGGAGCAGAGCTGGGACGCGACGACTCGTCCCAGTACCTTGGAGAGGAATGGGAGGTTAGAGATGGAGTAGCTGGAGAGAAGAGATGGGTCCAGTGTAGATTTTTTCAAGATGGGGGTGATGACGGCTGTTTTTTTACCAGGGGCCAGAAGGTGGAGTTGGGAGACAAGGAGAGAGGTGCGGATGGGATTGAGAGAGCAGGTGGTGGGTTTGAGTTTGCCAACAGTCGTGGTGAGGGAGGAGGGAGAGATAGGGTCGAAGGAGTATAGGGGGCGATGGGTGGGTCATGAGGGAGAGGTGATGTGGGGGTGGCTGTGGACGGGCCTGAGGTGGATGAAAGTATCCCCTCGATTTTAGATTTGATGTAGAAATGTAGAAACATGATGTAGAAATCATGTTACAGAATATACTAGTAGGATATAATCTTTGTATTTGATATAGAGTATTATGTCATCATGATGTCTCAAAGCGCTTCACAGGATTATACTGCGATATGTAGTCAGACCGTATTGGCAGTTGAACACGGCAGTCAATTTGCCCATAGCTAAGTCCCACTCACTACACAGCCATGAAGTAAATGACCAGTTTTATTTGGGGAATTGTGGTCAGGACACTGAGAGAAACTCCTTCTATTGTCAAATAGTGCCATGGGATCTTTAACATCCACCTGAGAAGGCAGACAGGACCTCCGTTTAACCTCTCATCGAAAGGATGGCACCACCAACAACGCAAGGCTCTCTGGGGATTGTATTTGAGTGTCAGCCTAGACTGAGTTCCAAGTTCCAAAATGGGACTTGAACCCACAATCTTCTGACTCAGAGCCAGGGTATATGGTGTTATATTCCATCCTATCTGATGGAATTGATAAATTGGTTGAGTTATATACAGTATCTCAAGGTTCTTTTCCATATAAATTGAGATAGTATTGCTGCTTCTTTGGCATGGGTTATGGTTCTCCCTTTTGCTAGCTTCCAAACTCTGTAAATTGTCTTGGCTTTACGGTGTTGGCAGATTTGCAGGAGACAATGTGGCAGCTTCCCAGGTACACATCAAGCTCTACCCTTCTGTTGGCTTCCAAATGGTCTAAAGTGCTTTGGCTTCACAGTGCTGGCAGATTTACAAGAGACAAAACTTAGCTAAACCCCAGTAATGGAGAATTTGGTGGCCGAAATGCAAAGATGGTAACTTTTTTTCCATTTTCCCCTGGGGTGAATGGATAGTTTAAAATGTCTGTTATAAAACATATACGGTACTTTCTGTACTTTCAGAACATGTTTTGGCTTCTTCCACTGCATAAATACACTTCCAAACAGTTCTTGTAGTCAAGCCCTTCGGTCTGTAAACCCTTTAACCGAGTGGAAATATGGTATAATTGGGTATACCTGCCTGAAAGAAAGTTTTGTTAACTTTTCAAGTGAAGTGCAGATACTTTACTCTCCGGTTTAACAAACAAACCAGGCTTCCATGTAAATTGCTTGCTATGTAAATAGAGGTGCTCTTGTCAGATTTTCTCGTATGTCTTACAATACCTAGTTGTTGCTTTAAAGCAACACCAAATTTGCCCAGAAGTCAGTTGCATATCGAATTCAAGACTGTCAGTAGCAAAGGAATTTAATATAAGAGGTTTTGCATTTGACTGGAATGAATGCTGAAGTAAAATGGCACTGATGGATTTGTTTATAGTTAAGTGGTTTATTTCTGCTCAGGAACTAGTGAATTCTATTAAACTTGACTAAACAAACAAATATTTGTAATTACAGTCATGAACATTATTTAGATCTTATTTCTCATTAAACAAAGGAAATTAATTTTATTTTAAATGGGTAGATATTCCATCTTAATCTATATTTACTCTACTGTTGCATCCAGAATTGAAAAAACTCTGAAATATAATCCTTAATTTTGAGGATGTCTTTCCACAAGCTTTTTTTTTAAGAATTCTGCACACACTGACATGCTAGATTAATAGAATAAATTTAGATCCAGGTAGAAATTTACTCTTCACATTTCTAAGATAGACAAATTCATAACCATTCTGAACTCAAGTTGAAGTTCCATCTTTCCTGAAACTGTTGGTATCCCTAATATAGCATAATATCCCTAATATAATATATCCCGAATATACCATTAAAAAGACCACTTACCGTTATAAATTCAAATAAATTCAAACACAGAAACAAAATGGGTTTTATTATTTTTCGTCACTAGTTTTACAGATGGAGATTCTGTAACATTTCACTTTATTTGAGATTCAACAAAGTGACTAGAGCACTAATCATGTGTATTCATACTGCTTATCAGATTGTAATCTCTGATCCTTCACATTTAGTAAGTGCCAGTGTACTTTAATTGCATTTTCCAGATTGCGTTTCAATAGTCATCTTAAGGGATTCATCCTTCTCTCCTGCCCACCTCATCTGGGTAACTTCACCTTCTATTCTTGCATCATTGTGATTGAGAATACAACAATTTACATCTATATGGTGCCTTTCATGTGAGGAGGAAGTCTCATAGCGCTTCACACAACTACTGAGGTTTGGGATCCTATCAAAATTATGTTCTATAATAGAACTGCTGTCTCCGCAGAAGGCAAACAGGGAGCAGTATGGAGACTGAACTATCCTAGATTCCCATTCCTTGGGTTGTACAAAATAAGTTCCTCAAATGCACCTTACTAAAGTCAGCTAAAGTGGTGGGTCCTAGTCCACTGATTCTAAACCTAAAGCACACTTTCTTTCACAATATCTTGCAGCTAAATGCGTGCCATAACTAGTCCTGAAGAGCCATTAGACACGCTGCATAAAATGTCTTTGGCACCCCTCAGGCTTCTTAAGAGGTATCATGTGCATTCTGTTACTGTGGAACTTTTTGTTGTCTTGTTTTCATTTATCCAATTGAGTGACAATTGTGCATTATATAAAAACTCATAACCTGCCAGCTTAATAAATATTTTTATTGGAATTTCAACCAAATTGGATAATTGCTCCTTTATTAAGAATACAATTCACTACCTCATGCTCTTGTGTAACATACGTTTATCTGGCAACAGAATTAGAAAAGTAAAGTCCCCATTCTACCAGCCTGTTATTGAACCTGAGCACTTTAGATTTAACTTTAATCGGCTTCATTTAGTTTACTTTGAGAACTTGCAGAATAAGTGAACATGAAGGATAAATCCGAATTCAATTCATATAGTACTAATAGAAAAAAGGGCTACACTGCGAGGATATCTGCTTCATGTTCTTGCTTCTAATTGATTAAACAATATTTGAACAATGCTTTTATAAATGTGCATATCACTTACTATAGAGGATGGTAAACGTAAGTCACATGTGGGTATTGAATACCAGGCTGTCTACAGATGTAGAAAGCACAATTTCTTATTTAGTTTCTTTAGATTTGTTGCTGATTAAATTCAAACTGAACAGCAGTTGACTATATAAAAAGTAAGAATGATCGGTTGACAAATATCAGAAAGTGTCTGGACTATAATGACTGTATCAATCACATTTATCTTGTATCATCAGGTTGTTGAAATGTATTGATGGGATTTGTGGTCCACAAAAGTACATTATTAATCCAATTGTAAACACAGTTCAAAAACAGACTGCAAAGCCATTTCCTATTTAAAAATTTTCAGTTTCTAAAGATTGTATTTGCAGCACATTGAATGAAATTCAGTAACTGTGATTTTACAACCCACCTTATAGCAAGATATGTTACTGTCTGTCTTACTGATGTGCTGAGTTAAAAGTTGCAAAACTAATAATGTGAAAGAGTTATAAAGTAATATTGAAACTTTTAACACATGGTGTGACAACAGAGTTGTCCTTGGATGGGGTGGAGAGGGGGAGCAGGATTCTTTGCTCAGTTTACTAAAAGTGTGAGTAACAATACATTATTTCAGACGTAGGCCGGTTAGATTGTACATTATATGGAAGCATTACTTACTTGATGTGTACAGTTAATTTGGGGGTGTAATGTATGTAAATAACTACTGATGTGAGACTGAGTTTACTGTAATACAATTTTATTTTTAAAGCCATATCTTTTTACAATGATCTGAAATGTGTGCAGTTCAATAAGTCAGTGTTTACATGAACACGTCAGTCTTACTATCTTTTGTTTGTTTCTCTTGTGGTTCTCCAGCCACCATTTCCTGCCAGAGCTAGGCCCAGAAATACTGAATGGTGGTCGAGTTCAACTCGTGGTAAGAACTTCCTTCTAGCTTTAAATATTCATAGTTCTATACTCCATAGATTCTGACACTGTGTTGATTTTCATATAACATTGCTTGTTATTTGTAGAAACAATTTGCAAGTTGTTTCCTGGTAGATTGTTATCAAAAGGTGTGTTCATGTACAGTGATTGCTTATTAATGTTATTTTATGTATAACAGTGTATGTATGTCATTGAATGTATGAAGTATGTATGTATTATCACTCTATGAATGAATATGTTAATTACTTTATGCTTTTGATATGGATCTTCTAGGAGGTTTCCAGGCAGACTACACTCATTGGTTAATTTTAGGGTGTTGTGGATAAAAAGTTTAATAGAGTTTATAGAAAATAAATCTAAGCTAATTTGGTGTTGGTCACTGTGAAACGCTAATGAAAATAGCATGCTGCATTACTAACAATTAAGGCATGCTAATGAGATGAGATTAGCATTTTTCACTTAAATAAGATTTCATGATATGTTTCAAGAATATACAGGACTCGTGGAGTCCTGTAGCTCAGTGGTTAGAGCACTCGCTTTGCAAGCAAGAGACCTGAGTTCAATTCCAGGCAGAGGGCGAAACCTTGGGCAAGTTTCCTTAATCCACACGCCCAATAATAATCCCTCCAAAAATCCAAAACAATAATAAATTGGTCATTTTCAATCCATGACTGTTTGTGGGACATTGCTGTGCGCAATTGGCTGCCGCGTTCGCCCACAAATATGCAGTCAATTCACTTTACAGCGTGTTCTGTGAAGCGCTTTGGGACGTCCTCCCGATGTGAAAAGCGCTATATCAAATGCAAGGATTATTATTATTGTTATTATAAGTTTTGTTTTGTTTCCATTAGGCAAGTCCTGTAGGTAGAGAAGAACCGGATTTAGAGGTTGGATCTGTGAGCAGTGGTAGCAGTATAATTCAATTAGGTGATGGATTAAATCAGAGTCGCTTGAACTCAACAGGATCGGCAAGTAAGTTCAGGTTCTGTATGTGTTTCTTTTCTAAATTGTAATGTTCATCCCTAAATGACTGAAATATTAGAGAATGAAATAACAATAAACCTGCAAGCTGTCAATTATAAACTAAATAATTTTCAATAACTTCTGTGAAGGTAGGGTGGTTATGGGTGATTCCATGACATGCAACAGGAAGAGGGATGAAAAACAACATTGAGTTTATACAAAGTTATGCCAGACCAGCGACATACTGAATGAGGTCTGTTGATAGAAAAATGATTTAACTGAGAAATTATACACTTGATTTTACAAATTCCTAAAAGTCTTGTGTATACTAAAATAAAGTCATTTAGACCTTTCTTTAAACATCTGCGCTGATGTATTTTATTCAAACTTTTTAAAAAGGAAAAGGAAATAAATCATGTGCAACTCATTCAGACATACAGTTTGAGTGGACCTATGCTCAACTATACAGAAATGTGTGTGTGTGTGTGTGTATACCACAATGTAGCTGTCTGGGTGAAGGCTACCAACATAGATAGTAAGTACATTCAAAAGAATAGTGCCTGGAGCTGGACTGATGAATGATGAAGGATAAAAGTGTGCATTACAATGGACTCCATTTACTGTCATCCTTGTTTATACTAGCTTCTCCTGATGCAATTTGAATCTTTAACCCATGTTCGGAATTCCAAATTGAGCAAAGTTGCATTGTTTATATTGGATACTCTCAGCGGGGCAGCTATGCGGTCATCTTAAACCACTGGATGCTATCTGATGGGCATATTTCTCTTGATCTATATTGAGGATACACAACTCTTCAGCACCAGCAATGGTGCCATGATCTGTAACTCTCATCCAAAACCTCTTTACCTTGCTAATTTTTACTCCCATCTTCAAAACTTTCTGAACTCTCCTCTCTTTGACCGAGCTTTTGGTCACCATCTTTAAAACTATTATCTTCCTGCTCGATGTCATATCTTTTGGAAGTGAAGAATTTTCATCATTTATATTGATATTTTGTTAATTCAAAAAAAAACTACCAATCAGTTACTAATGATTATTTTCTTGAGATTTATTGCCATCAACCCATACATGCATACATATTTATGTATATTACGTTTTATTCCTACAGATCAGCTCTCTAGCACTAAGATGACCCTTTTAATGCTTCACCTTTTTTAAGGATCTTGTGTCAAATGCCACTTCCTGATCAGACAGTGTGCAGGTCACCTGGTCCTAATCTTCTTCCAGTGCCAGAGGCAAACAAGAGCAGATCCCGTTAACTTGAATGCCGTTTTTTCACTCTATGTGGCACGTCCTACCCTCTGTGATACAGTGTATTGTTCCACCTCACTACCTGCATATCCATCATTTGCAAAATGAATTGCAACATAGTTCGCAATTTTGAGAGGAAAAGTATTCTTGTGGCATACAACATTTGAATTTAAAACTGTGGTACCCCATAACTGATTGTTTTCATGTGTAATAGTCTAAACAAAAAGCATAATTCAAACATGATTCATTTTCAAGACATTTCCCTTTTTCATACATTGTAAACCGCACAGCTTATAAGAAAATCAAAGTGGAAAGTCAGTTACTAACCAGGACACACCACTGATTTGCACTATTCACCCTTAAGATCCTGGTTAGCTCACTGTATGTTGCTGTCTGCATTCACAGAAAGCCTGAGGCATTTCATTACTGTTGTACTGCATTGTTCACACCATAATACCAATTTACATGGGAAAAAGACAAAATAACTTTAAAATAATTACTTTCTGCATTTGTTTTACATTGAATGGGAAATCTCATTCTATAGATGTATCAAAAGATTTGCTACACAGAACAAACAGAGCAGACTAGCAGATGTATTGGAAATAAACTTTAATTCCTATGTGAAGGGCAAGGAGACACTTTAATTCACAGGAATTGCTTGCAATAACCAGGCTATTGATCAGTCACATTTGACCAATTGTACAGATGCTTGGTAAAATCTCTTGTAACATTTACTATTTCATAGATGTTAGGACTTAATTTGCAATGATAGCGGGGACATCGTTTGACTGGTTAAACACAGACCAACCTCCTTTAATTCACTGTTTGATGGTTAGAACATCTTAGTCATAGTTTTAATGCAGCAATGTGTAATTATAATTGAGTTGCAGTGGCGTCAGAAATCAGATCCTATATATGAAGCCAGGAACATGATTTATTTAAAGTATCGTATAAAAATACAAGAGAAGCCTTTTTATCGAGTTTAAAAGAAAATCAAAGTGGAACTTCAGTTACTAACCAGGAGAGAGTCCATATGGCAGGTAATTGAGGTTCCAATCTTTTTTAAAAAATTATATATATATTATATATATGATATATAAATAATGTCACATGTCAAGCTTTCAATGCATGACTTCAAGATTTGTTGTGACAGGAAATAAAGGTTTTGACCTGCAAGTTATTAAGTGGTTATTTTGGCAATGCAAGCAGTATAACCTCCTCAATATATAAGGAGTGCTTCAGATCCATTTTATAGTTATTCTACTTTGAGTTTGTCTTCTTTTTCCCTGAATTGGGTATCGTGAAAAATGCAGCTGTAAATGTTTGAAGAGGTCATTCTGCGGACACACAAAAAAAAGGCTAAGGCATGACAGGAAATGGCAAGAGATCCATTTGAAATGAAAGCTGCCCTTCTGACAGGATTTTGCTTAAGGTCTAGCATGACAAAGATACTACACAAGGAGAAGGGCACAGGCCATCTCAATGGCGAGATTAAACAGGCAGCACAAAATAGGATAATCTGATTTGAGGTACTATAGTAGAGTGTCTGCTTTGACTTTTTTGTTTAGTCCTGACAAATTGTTTTTTCATGTTGATTGAAATAAAATCAGTGGAAAAGACAAAGTGTTCCTTGTTTGAACAATTGTGGAATTTAGAGGATGCTACTTATTGCTCTGATAGTTTTGAGTGGTGTGATTTGTTGTTAAATTGATCACCAAATGCTTGTGGCAGTGTTGATAGGTACAACCAATACATCCGAAAACAACGGCTGCTTTCATTACTGTAATGTTGATGTGGTTTAAAGCTATGTTCATTAAATATGTTGTATCTGCAAAGTCAAGGTTGTTTGGTAGCAACAGTCTCTAAAAGCATCACTTGTATTTCATGTGTGTTCTTTTATTGTGTGGACCCTGGCAAATGACATAACTGATGGTATATCTTTCACATTGCAGTGGGAGCACACTGTAGACTACCACCAGTTATGGACTCATTTTTGAGCACCATCAAAATTTGAACTATAAATTTACTTAACAGTGCTGAGTGTTTAATGTATCAATCTGCAATACTATGTACATTCTTCAAATCTACCAGCGAGATCCATGCTTTAATACCAGAATATGCTTTTGAGATACTGATTTAAGTGTTGGAATAACTTGAAACACTGAAGATATTATCAGCAAAAATAAATGGTTTGAAGTGCTGTAATTCTTAAGCAATGATCAAATATTTCCTGTATAACAGTATATTTTTAATCTCTCCTAAGAAGAAGTTTCCAAACAATTGAAGACTGGCTCTGCACCTGCAAAGAGGGAGCCCATATCCCTTCGGAACAACCCAGTGAACCTGAGTACAGGTTGGGGAAGTGGGAAGAAGCGAGGGAGACCACTCTAATTACTTTGGCCGGATTGTATATAGCAGTGAAATATCAATAGACTAGTTAGTGATTACAAATATTGTGGCAAAGAGGTCAGGAATCATAGCCTGTTTATGCAGCTTGCCATACATAGGAATTTAAAATCCCTTTGCAGTAAAATGAAACAAACAATTGTTCGACGAGATTACTTGATCTATTGAAAATGATACTAATTGTAATATGAACATAAAGGAAATATTTCAAAAACTATGCCTGGAAAAAAATCACTGACCCACAAAATACTGGTCACCTCACAAAGTAAATGCATGGATGTCGGTAGAATAAAGCAACTCCAGTAGCAAAATAAGTGCTAACACCTCATCACATGGCACCCAGTACCATCACACTCAGCAGAATAGTGATGTGGAATGGGAAGCCTGCTCTACATCACTTTGAATTGTACTTTGGCAGATGGACAGAAATTGGGTGTTACTAAATCGGCTCTTTAATGACATTAAATATGAACCATTCGAAGATCTCCTTTGGAGTGAGCCCAGTGTAAGCCATTGGGTTTCTACTGCAGTGGAGATGAATCACATGATTTAGAAGCCACATTCTCCAGGTGAAGTCCAGAGTGGAGAGTCCAGAGTCCTCAGTCCCTGTTTGTACTGCACATTTTGCAGGTAATTGCCCAGTGATTTGTAACCAAAATCTTTTCAATTATTTTCTACTGTCATTTACTCATTTAGACATGAACAAATGTATATTTCTGGGTGTATTTCACCCAAGTTAAATAATTATCAGATCTTCTCATGAGGGAAATAAATCCACAATGCAATGTTAACAATAAACTAGCCTTGATTTATTAGATGCCATTTAACTTAGCAATCAACATGGTTTATATACATAGAAATAAACTTATTGAAAATTGCTTTAATTAAACAAAGTCAATTTATTTGGTATGTAATCCTAGCCAACCTTGTAGGATTTTTACTGATTATTTCCTTTTATATTTATTTTTGATTGAAGACCAGGTAGACAAGACCACAATGTTCTTTCCTGGTGCTGTATGTTCCTATTTTGTGCAGATGAGTTCCAGTTCAAGCAAAACTGTGAATGGATGTTATGGAACTTAAATAGTAACTAAAATTACAACTATTTTCTGGAGTAAATGCTACTTTTGTCTTCCCCTTTAATCAGAATTGCCTTCAAGATAATGAACTCAATTGAATGTTTTTGTGAATTTAATGCTGGCAAATTAGTTTAACAAAATGTATATTTCTAAGACTTTGATCTGCAAATGTGCTTAGCAATGCTACAATAAGTAATCTTGTATGATTTTATTTGTGCTATTCTGTACTGTATTACATTATATTGTTTAGTTAAGTACATCATCAATAAAAAAAACTGAAATCACGAAATCATCATAACTGTCATTCTAAATGGAGAAACAAGGCGTTATCAAAAACACAAGACTCCTATATTCCAGATTTCTCCAATTTTAGCAACAATATAATGTAGTAGTTGTGCTCAAGCAGAAGTGGAACTGGGAAGAAATTCCACCTGGATCTAGTTTTACTCAGATTTATGTAGCATTTCACAACATCCAGAATTAGGCAAATTCTTAAATACAGCCTTAATTTAGAATTTGTTTTGGTAAAGATCTTTTAGGAAGTACAGAAGAACTACAGAAAACTGGCTTCAGAGTTAAGACTGAATTCAACAGTTTGTCAAATTTTTCATGTATCTGAAATACTATAGAAATAGAGTAAATCAGGACCCAGGTGGAATGTCTTCCCAAATGTGTTAAGAGACTGTCAATGGACGAATTATCTGTTTACCTCAGAACCAGTGTTAAAATCTTTAGCAAAAAAAGCCTATTTAGCTTGTCAAAGCTTTGTTAAAGACATTTAAGAAGGAACTCTTTCTACATTTCACAGCTGAAAAAGCTCATGAAAATTTGATTATTTAACCCATGGTCAGTCATGCAGTTAGTGAAACTTATTTGCAGTACACACCATCTGGTACAGGTGTTAATATTAATTGCTGACATAATTCATATTCCTCCTATGCTGCGTGGTGCACCTCTGCTTTATTGAATTTTCCTTGTTCTGCAAAGAGAATAATAGATGCCACAATCTTAAGCACAGCACCATTTGGATATGGTATTGCACTGTTCCACTGCCCTCACACAACTGCAGTGTTGTCATTATATCTACTGTGGTGTGCTTGTACAACACATTCAGTGTGTAGAGGTATATATGTGTCAATTCATAGAATATCACAATTCAGTTATAGTTTTCTACGCTTTTAGTAACCTCCCCATTTTACACCTGCTAAGGTTTCCCTTCTGAACAAGTCCACCATGGCCTCCTCATATGGGGTCATGGAATACACACTTTGAACTCTGCACAGATGTATTCACAGACTTTCTAAATTTGGTACAGCTCAAGTAGTTCGAGATGTTTCAGAAACAGAGCACTCATTATTGTGGATGCAGTTTCATTGGCTTCTATATGTTCATTCATGCAAACAAAATCAAGTTCCTGACAAGCAACGTTGAGGAATGTGAGCACTGAAGTCATAGCATTAGGGTTCTGTTAAAAAAGGTTTGTTCTCAATGTTTACAAGTAGGAGTAAATATCGGGTGATCCCAATGGCTTACTAAAAGTTAGATAAAGACGCATCTGGTGTAGGGTTTGGTCACGCAGATCAAAACCTTACAAGTATGAATCTAAGGCCGCTGGGTTTGCTGATCTCGTTCTACCCCCCGAGCTGCAATCCTCTGTGTTTCGCTGGGTTGGGAGGGGGAAATTCAGCAAGGATTCTCTCTCCTTATCTCCACTATTAACCCTCTGCTGGAAAGGGCATGTACGGGTGGACATTGAGCTCGGTTGTGCCCTCTACCCCTACCGCCAAGTAGCCTGGAGTCTGTCAAGGCTTCCACATGTAGATTATCCACTTGGCCTAGAGACTTCAGGCTGCTCGGAGCCCAACTAACTCAATCCCAGCTAATGTCTGTGCCCTCGAGAAAGGAAAATGGGATGAAATTGACAAGCAAGAAAATATCAAGCTGCCCAGGTTCGAAAAATAAGCTCTCTGCTTCAGGCGATCAGTGAGTTCCACAAAATGGAATGAAGGGCTTCGAGTTAAAAGAACATAAGATACTATTGTATATTAAATGTGTGTAAAAAAAAAACTCAGCATTGGGACTGGCATTCAGTGGTAATATTCATTTGCAATGTTCCATTTGTAGTTTTATAACAAGGACAACTAAATGAAAATGTGAATATTATGTCAAACTAGATGTTTTCTTGTTTTATGTATAAGATCTCCCATCGATATACAGTCATACGAAGCTTGGAATATGTTCCCTGCTCTTGTAACGCTGTCCATCCTATCTGCAAATGGTGAGGTTAAAATACGAAGTTGGAAGAAACAGCGGAAAATACGTGTAGAATATTCGCTTATGAATGGAAAAGAACATGTTGCTAAAAATCATGAGCTTATAGAGGGGATTGAGATACTTGCAGTGGGGGGTGAAAAAATGGACTGTGAAAGGCCATAACAAGGGAAGAGGATTTCTAGGAGATCATAATCCGAGAGAACGAATCTTATTTTATATCTGGTAACCCCAACATCACTTGTTTTAGATCACAAATAAAATCCCGTTGTTTGATCGGAGCCTTTTGTCCACTTGCAGTTTGTAAATGTTGCTCAGGTTTTACATGATGTGGCAGGAGAGGGGGAGGCAAACAATAACCCTTAATGCCTGAGTTTCTCAGCTGCACCACATCATATGACAGGAAGGGCCATTGATACAAATGCAGGAATTGGTTCATTGCCATCGTCGGGGGGGGGGAACCTCCCAAAAGCAGGACAGATTCGGATTATCTTTCACGGTTGAACTGCGGACTGAAGAGTTCCTATAACAGTGCATCAAGTGGTCCTCTTAACGTTCCGGCGACGCAGCGAATTAAACACAACACACTCCCGAATTGCACCCCTTTTTTTTTATTGTCTGTGTTGCATCTACTTGTGGGTATTATGTAATCTAAACCTCGTACATAATCCAAACAAATTCCTGGCACAGTCCTGATGTGTCAACATCTTTGCCAAGTCTCGGTTTGTTCCTGACACAGACAGGACTGGATTAGAACAGAACTGCTGTGCAACTCGTCTGGTGAGAAAGTGACTTGTTGATTTACACGTCTCAAGCCATGTAACGTGAGAATACGATCAAAGTGGTTTACGATTAAATATTGGTTGCGGGTGGATGTACTCTGGTGTGTGTTGCCCGTTTTATCTATTTCTCTCGATCTGATTTATATTGCTCTGAGCCAAAAAAAATAATCCTCCTCGTGATCATCCGAAAGCAACCATCGATTGATTGCATGCAACACCACTAAACAAAAATCCCAACGTCGATTTACTGGCAAAATGCACCGAAATGCACGTGAAAAAATAATAATAATAATAATAATAATAAAGCGACCGTGGAGATGAACATTGATCTCGATCCATCGAGCTATTGCTGGAGAACGCTACCTCGCTCATGAACACATTGGGACCCCGAACGTTAAACAAATAAAACGCCAGGAAAGTCCACCAGAGACGGTCAAAGCTCAGGCCAAAGTGTTCGCGCACAAAGCACACAGTCACTACACTTGACGGTAAATCCCGTGAGCGCCACGAGACGACACCCCGACGTGAAAGGTACACCAAGTGCGTGGTCGTCGTTAACAGCTTGAGCTTCGGGGAAGATCTCATGATATGTTGCATCAATAAAAACCAGCAAAGCGATTTGTGTCTTATACGCTCACTGTGTGCGTTGGCATCAGCGCCGGTTAATGGAGCCACTGATGGCGAGTTAGAGAGCATTGCAACAACAATCTTCAACCCTAGAAATGGTTTAGGAATTCACAGTGGGCATCAGCAAAGTAGATTTAGACTGCGCTGATCAGAAGGCTACACAAGAAATGTCGTGCACTTTTCTCTGGAGGTTTTTTTTGAGTTTCTTTCCTTTTTTTTTGTTTTAACTTGTCCAATGTGCTTATCTCACTAGACATCCAGTCGGACTGCCAAGACTCGTTCTCTCATATTCGCTGTTTTATGTCAAATATGAAGTTGTTATTAAGCCTCATTACAAACGCATTTAAATGCAAAGACGTTAACACACGGCCTCACTTTTTTTTCCCCAGTAAAAGGGGTCTCAAATTCTTTACGTGGTTTCATCTAAAGGAGTATGTAAATGGATTATATTCATGTGATCAATATGTGTTTCGGAGGAACACATCTCCACTTACATCCCATTTAGGTTTTAACTAGACACAGATTTTTTTTCACAAAAAAACCCTGAACATAATTCCAACACGAACACTCACTCACACAAAACGTTAGCCAAATGGATTGTTCTTTTTTTTCTGCGTACGAAAAAAAAACTATTCAGAGTTTTGAACGGTGATTATTCCAGTAAACGGGGTACAGAATAAATAAATCAAAACCATCTGCGCAAAGTCCACGATTAAAATGTCAAACAGTGCAATAAATTAATACCTCAGTTATGAATGATAGGTCATGCTGTAGAATAAAGTGAGAGGATGAATTAACGAGGGGGTGGGGGCGAGGTGGTGGAGGTGGGGGAAACAGCTAACTATAAGTAACCTGCTGATGAAAACAAAATATGCGATGCGAATCATTAAAGAGTAATAATTTTGCTTTGATGGGAGAATCGCAGCCAAAACGCTCCTGACGACAAAGCCCCTTTAAATGAGCAATTATCCCTTTAGCTTCGTTTGCAAAATCTGTAGAGGTTTATCAGGAAATCCAAGTGCAATTTGTTTCAAAATAAAAATCAGCACAGGGACCACTGCTTAAAATTTTTTGGACACATTCAAAAGGAACGGAAAGGGGATATGGGGAAGCGAAGCATTAGATTGTTTTTTTGCTGCTGATTTTTCTTTCAAAAAGACCGTTTCCATTTAATAACTGTCTAGTTTTCTGTTTTTCTATTGGGAAAACTGTAACATAGTCAATAAAAGTTGATGTACAACTTGAAGCAGCTATTAACTGGATAGCAATCTTCACGTTGTTGCCAGTTGACATGTAACCTTGTGAAATTATTTAGAGCACCTTTCTTAACCTCGGTTTTTTTCCCCCCCCAGTTTTGAGAGAAATGTCCTCGTTTGATGTGCTTTGTTTTAACGATCGATTGATGGCGGAAAAGCAGGTTAGATTTATAGTAAATACAGTTTGGGCTCATGTCGAGAGCGGTAATAGATGGAATTCAAGGCTGCGGTTTGAGTGAGCGATGTGTATACATCATCAAATCGCTAGTCTTTGCTCCACGACTCCATGGGTCAGAGAATAGCTTTTTCAATCAACATTGTGCCAAGTCTCAGGACTGCAGCAAATATGCTGTCAAGTTTCAGATTTGCCCACAAAAAAAGTGCCTTCGGGAATGGCCCATCCACTGAAGCATGTATGAAGCATTCCTGTTCAGAACATGATGAGCTTTTACTCACAATATTTTGAAAGGGGTGGGAATTAAGACACACAAATACCAATTTATAGTCCTGTCCAGGTAACTTTCTCTGGTTCATTAAATTGCATTTACAACTTTGACAAAGTTCACGGTTCCCTTTGGAGTTTCTCTGCTGGAGCCAAGTGGGAAAAGAACGTTTATCTAAACAAAAACATTGCGTTGGTAAAGGCTTTTTCAATATTCTTAATGACTATTATAAACCAGCTCACCTTTTTCGAGCATTTTAACTGGCAATGAGTTTCCAAGCACCTATGATACACACCGACAGACTAAAATCTTCAAATACAGGTATTTAAGCGATTTGAGACATGAAATGCGCTATATAAAATGTATAGTAAATTGTATTGTATTTACTTTTCATTTGTCTGTACAGAGATGTACGATCTTCACAACAAAAACAACAACAACAACAAAGGCAAAACAAACACGCACAAAGTAATCCTCCAAAACACAACGAAGTAAATAAAGCACTCCACAAACCGCAGACATCCCAGATACAGCAGAAATCTGATGAGGACTATAAAGGCGCAATCAACACTGTTATCGAAATATAACAGACAAGATAGCAGCGGATTTAGAACCGTGATTTGTTTTTAGAGAGAAATTAAACAAATGGGATACTTGATAAATAGACAGATAGTGACAGATAAAACGGTACTATGATAAATGAAGCAAAAAAAAGTCAAACTTGCATATCTATACACAGAGCAATTTAACAACGTCTTTCCCTTGCTGCGAGGGGTTGGCCTGTGGGTGGAGGGAACTGCTCATGGATTTGTATATTTATTAGGATAGGAGGAGGCTGCAGTCAGATGCCTGTTGCTTTTACTCTATATAGAGCAGTTTCCAGAAACCTTATCCACAACGACAATCGACAGTTTACATTTAAGTTCAAACCGATTCCCAATACAGTACAATCAGCGTCTGCTTTCTCTCAGCAAAACCATCTGATCATTTGGTGTTTAGATGATTATGGAATTTACGAGTGAGAATTTTTCGATGGCTGGTCATCAGTCGAAGGGGAATGAGTACTACATGGGAGCAGGAGAGACTCTGGAGCAAGTTATGGAAAGCATGGAGGGAGGACCGTTCTATAGCAAGAACTCTTCCAAACGCATTCAAGCCTTCATCAATATGGAAAGCAGCGAGCAACACGAGAGCGTTGGGAAAGCAACTCTTCACGGAGAAAGTGCCAATGGTAGGTTGTATCTGATCTCGGTATCAACACTAAAGTTGCTTTACGATGGGAGGGCAGCATCGGTTGTTATGCATATAAAGTTTAGCAGCAGCCTGGCTTCGCAGATACATCGCCAGGAAACCCAATCACGTTCAATAAACATTTGTGAGACTGCATTTAAGTCTGTCGGGGTCTGCAGTCTTAGTTGTTCCATTTGATGACTCGTACAAACCCTCACCGTTTAAAAGCATCGTTGCGCTTTCATACTTTGCAGCGAGTTAAGCCGTTCACCGCAGTGGGTAAATCCACAACACATATTTTTAAAGGGTTTCTTTTTTTAAGGATAACGTTGTTCTGCTTTACTTAACAGAGGGTGTGTGTAGAAGGAGTTCTTTACTCACACTTCCTTGTGCATCATGAACAGTACCAGAAATGACAAAATAGGAGAAATGTGTTATTGGGAAGCGAATGTCTGTTGAGCAAATAGAAAGCGATGCGTTACGATAACAAACCATTTATCATTGCCGTTTCGATAATCAATTGCACAGACAGTGAAGTTTAGCCAAACCTCTTTTTTCACCTTTGACACTCGGATCCGACTGCAATTAAAAACATGCTATTTCCAGCTACAAATGTTTATAAATCGCCGTGGAACGAAACGGCGCAATGTTTAAATCCTGTGCAAATGCGGATTTTCAGGGGGGGATTCAATCAACATGGGTTGGGGTGAAGTTACTGTTTATGAATAAAAGGGATTTCAGATATGTGGCAGATGCAGTTTGGAGACTAGACTTCATTCCTAAATCTCTGGATCAGATACCCTTTCAGCATCAGAGAAAGATCATTTCCTGGGAGGATTTGAGCTGAGAAATATAGTGCAAAATAGTAACCTCTGCGTTTCACACAACCCAGTAATTTCCGTGGACAGTCGAACACTTGGAACCTGGACAGTTCTTTTTGTGCTCGACATATTCATGTATGTTTTTTTTTACTACATATTGTATAGAAAAAGAGAAACCAGCCTAGCCCAGGCCAGGAAAAGATTCCCATTCGCCATTCAAAAGATTTCATGATTTATCTCCTTACCACCCCCCCAAAAAAAACGTCTGTCATATTCTGATAACACCCAAAAGACCACTGCAATCTCTCCCTTTGAACACTCTTATCGACTTGTCAATTCACAGAGCTTTTCAGGGCTTCCATTTTATGGCTAGTTTAGGGCCTGGGTGTCTAAGTAGATGGCAGATCAGATGCTGGTAGCAGACCAATCTGTTCTGGATTAACTTTAACGAGCAAAAAAACATTGAAGTTTCTTTAAAAGTGACTCGCTTTCAAAACCAATCAATGCTGCAGGTGGCCACATAACGTGCGTTTGTTTGGGGAGGGGTCGACGTCCGATTACACAGCAATTAGATTTAACTGACAAACATATTGATTTGAAAAGAAATAGTTACACAGCCTTAAAATCAGATGGCGGGACCCTGGGTATATTTGGATCCCCGATGCGGGTGCAAGTTGTTATTCAGTTATAATAATTATGCCCAAATCCCACACTATTTGTACAGTTTGCATATGAAAAAACCTCCGCATCTCCAAATCCCATTCCATCGGTCAATTTGTACAGTTAGTATCGGAAAAGGTCTCGGTTTGTTTTATAAACAAAAGCTCAACTTTGCTCCAGTTCATTTACCAAAGCATCGCTATGTACTGCTGGTTACAAATTTTCAAATCCGTCAACTGAATGATGGGCTATTTAATGTGTTTTAAGCAACAAAGTACATGGAAATTGTTAAGTTGCATTTGCTCTACAAATATAATGTTTGTGCAACTTACTTTGACCATTTTAAAAACACCAATTGATTTTTGTGAAAAAAATGTTGCGCGTTTTATAGAAATGCTTCAAGGGTGGAATACGACTTGTTCTGCAATAAGATACGAATAAAATATCTGGATGTATAAAGGTATACATGAAATGAACTATTGATTTTTATGTACAACGTAAATATGCTTTACCTAAGAGCAAGTTTCAGTCACTAAAAAGTGGCATTTTACAGCCACAATGTGATATGTGAAATATTCTGAACGAATGCAAATCAAACTTACGGGGGAGCACAATTTTTGCATTTCGTAATTTTCTTTTCAAAATCTTGAAATTGCACTCTTACGGTAAAGCTTCCTTAAAAAAAAGTGAGAAAAGGTTGCGCTTCTTTTGAAAATTTAGTGGATTTACTTGATGGACAGAAGTGGGTACCGCTGTGACATTACATTCAACACTCAGGTCCAAAAGTTATAATCGCCTTCAAGTGAATCTTTTCAGCAGTTTTCCGCACCGGACAAATACTATAAAAGCTAAGGTTCCAGGTTAGGTTAAGCAAATAATCGGATGTCATCTACTGCTATTGTTATTGCCAATATATCACATCACAACGCCTTAACAGAATCTGCTCAATAATATTGACGGAAAAGCGGGCACAACGAAATTTGTCACTAATGTAAGGGTTGGAAAATGTTGCAACAGCTTAACGTGTTTTATTCTCTTACAGTGCGATCGTATTCCTTCTGGGCTTTCCCTCCCCCCCTTAATATCAAACAGACGATTTTACTTTTCGTGTTTGCATTCATTTTTAAGGAAACTGCAGTGACTCCCCCCTTAGTCGGCATCCCCCCCCGAGATAAACCCCAATTCCCTTTAACAGCAACTTTTTTTTAAAAGAAATTCCACGATACCGTTTCAAATTTCAAATTCAAGGCAACGCCTCAAACAGATTGCCCACCCTTTCGATCCAGGTTTATTTCGATCATATCAAGATTTGCCTCCATATCACTTTTTAATTTGCCAACACACTTTAGAAGGAATCGGATCCTGAAAACTGGAGTTACAAAAAAAATGACTCTGCTGGCAGACACTGTCACCATAATCATCCTATTCAGCAAGTCTCAACTCTTGACAACATTTTATCATCATCCTGCATTTAGCTTGGGATTTGGATCCAGGGACAAACACAGGCCATGAGCGATTTAAACCTGATTCTAGTTTTATCCCACATGAAATCAACTGAACCTCTGTATCAGTTCTGTATAAGAACGCAATTGCCTTTATACTGTGATGAGGGCCTTCACAATTGAATGCCCCATTCCCGCTTGTAAGATGTTCATTGTATGTTCTATGTATGTTCATCCAATCTCTTGTCTGGTCACTGGATCTACATCACACAAAAGACATAACGGCACGAATATGATGTGCAGCAATTTTTTTTAATATAAAAGAAAGATCTTCATGCTGTGGTGATGCACAGTTATAGGTGCAGAAAAAAAACCCAGAGGTGCAGAAAAGTGCCCGTTGGAAGCGAAATACGGTATGTCCACAAATTGTGAGAGACAAGTACAGTCTCTGTACTTTCCGAAAAGGCCTCATTCTTCTTTGACTGTGGATAACTTCCTATTGTCCCCATCTGCCAACATAGAGCAATAACAATCATATCCTTGGCAAAATATTATATTTCAATAATATTCCAAATGTATTTATCAATAAAGTCATTCTCAAATAAAGAATTTCACATCGATTATATTGAAGAATATTGGGGAGGTTGTTTGACTGATGCCTATTTGGGGGGAATTAAAAACAGTTTGCCTTTGAGCGGTATGAGAACACGATAAAACTTATGCACACACGGAATCTTTCTGCCTAAGGAAAGACAAAAGCAGAGGGTTCAGAAAGCACCGTATCAGTTAAACCAAAACATTGACAAGTGTTTGGGGCAGAAGCAGTAATATTAGGGAAACACGATATTGTAAAATTCACCCCGTGCCTTGTCTCTCTTTCTGGTCTGAATTTTTTCGGCAAATATAAATTATAACTGATGTTAGACTTATTGATGGTGTTTTAGATTTCAATTCCTTCATCCATAAAATGTCCCAGAGCAGCTGCATATCTGAAATTCCAGTTTTCCTCGAACTCGTGAAGGAACAAAGGAAGAATAGAAGTACAAAGTTTGATCAGGAACACATTTTAGCATTTCATTTCACGGTTGACCTGCGTGTTCACTGACAGATTAAACATTCCAGCAAATATACCAGTTTCATGCTTACATACCGATTGTATGCGTTACTTAACTGCAACATTGGTCATTACTGGTACAGATAAAATTGCTTTCACTGTTGCCTGCACACTGATATAAAGGCAATCGTCGACATGGCAACAGGGAAAAGGCAATGATTATGCACTGATGTTACAAAACACAATAGTATAAACTGTCAGAAAAATGTTTTCAATGTTGTAAAATGCATTTGGTCTTTGCTTGTAGTTAAGAACTTGTTCCCCAAGACAAGGAATCTGTTGCTTTCCAGGTTAGAAGAGTGGAAATATAACCATCTTAGTTAATCTTGTCACTAATTTTTCATTATTATTCCCAACTGCAGTAAAGATTACTAATCAGATGGTATCTGTTCTTTCATAGCATCAGATAGTATCTATCCCTTCAACAGATAGTATCTCACTCTCCCTCTCTCATAACATCGCAGTGTATGATGTTTTCTACTTTACATGTGAAGCGCTGTAAGTCAGGTTGGGTGCATTGTAATTTGCTGCTATTAAAACTTGTACTAAACTGCAAATAGGCTCAAACGTATTTGGTTTGCAGAGACATTTTGTCATTCCAGAAAAGGTTTCATTTGCTTTTAGTATCGGTGTCAGTGGAAAGTTTGCAGGCTAAGATTTGCATTGAACTAAATATAAAAAAATCAGTCAATTAAAATTGGCTGTATCTAATTCAAATGCTTTAGTGTCCCCACTTCAAGCTAAATACCAGTTCAGTCGCTTCGACACCTACAAAACCATCAGAGGACACAGTAAACTGTTATAAAGTGTTCTGAGACGTTTCAACGTGACCTCAAGCCATACGAATCCAAATGTGTTCTTTCTTACACGCGTTGTTTCACCAATATGCAAGACACACAGGTTTAATTTCTCTTCTTACATTTAGAAGGATTGTACCGAGCTGCTTTAGGCACGTTTGATATCAGTTAATCAATTAAAAACGTTTGTGCCAGGCAGTAAAGCAGCTATAGGATGTGGTTGGCAACTTTTCTCTCTCTCTCTCTCTCTCTCTCTCTCTCGTGGGTGCATCCTGTCTCAAATATCTAACCATTTTCTTTCATGTCCAGTAAATTATGGGGTTTCCAAACCAATGGGTCAGCCTCTGTGCACGGACCTGTCAAGACCCATCGAAAACTATTGCAACATGAAGGTTTCTCCTCCCAAAGGGCTGGAGGAGAAACACGGTATGGATCAGACAGCTGACAAGAGCGACTCGAATGTCTCCAGTACAAAGAAGCGAAGGAACAGGACCACTTTCACCAGTTTACAGCTGGAGGAGCTGGAGAAGGTGTTCCAGAAAACCCACTACCCAGATGTGTATGCCCGGGAACAGCTGGCTCTGCGCACAGAGCTCACCGAGGCCAGAGTGCAGGTAAATAAACAGCTCACACACTCTGCTCGTTGAACCAGTTAAACCCCTTTATTTTTCCACAGCAATAAGGGAAATAATCCGTGCGATGGAATGGGTTCCGACCGCAACGATGAGGCGGAACTTGCGATGGGAGCAAATGCGACCCCTGAAAGCAGAACCAACTTCTTTAAATATCTTTTCTGCACATGGGAGTTTTTGGTCAGACAGTAGGAGTCTAAAATGCAAGCTTTCTAACATTGGAAATCCCAAGGAATTCCGCCCCAGAAGTAGATTGAAATGGAATAGAGATCCTACGGGTAAACGTGTCAACTTTATAGTTACCCAAAGAGTCACCATTTCCTTATTGGAGCATCTCTATATTCCAGACCAAAATCCAATGTGGAGGTCTTAAGAAAAAATACATTAAAAACTTCAACGTATAAAGTCACACGCAGAGGACTGCACATAGTTGAATAGATGTTATTCTGCTAACATATCAACATTTTTACAAACTGCACTAGATTTTTACAGAATGCCAATCATAAACACCCGCATCATTGTTTTTGTGTGATAAAGGTTTGTTTTTCTTTCGCTTAAAACAATTGCATTTATGAACTCATAGAAACTGGAACTCAGTTTTTTTTTACAAAACATAAACACATTATGTGCATTTTGAACACTTTTGCGCAGAAATATTCGTGGCATTAAAATAATATTTACACTGGGGTGACATTAACTTAAATTCAAATTATTTTCAAATTATTTGGGGCAAAGATAACCCAACAATTTAGTCACCACGTTTGACATGATATATCTATTCTATATGATAAACTTTTTTTAAACGAAATAAATAATAATTGTTCATGTCAGCCGTGGGGTCTGTTTGATCAAGTAATCATTCGAATATGAAATATATCATAGTGCGGCCTGATTCATGTACTATTCATATTATTGATACAAATTATGGTTAGAATCCTGAACAGTGTCCACCATAAAAACTGCTGTTATATGCCTCCTGGTGCTATCTCTTCCATTGCCTCTAATCTCATTCCCTATTCCTATTCTCATTCCCTATTAGAGCTTCCTGCTCTAATCGCATTCCTATATTATTGGGGAATGGTGAGTTTGATGCTGAAGGTTTGCTGTTGGTCTCAGTATACTGGAAACATGGTGTGGAAGCTTGCAATTGCACCACTTGAAATTATTTCTTGGGGCCAGTATTTTTAGGTTTGAAAATGATCTGCAACTTCCAGAAAATAGAATTCCGTGATCTAAATACATGTTTTTGGACACAAGATAAACATATTGAAAGAACAGGATATTACCGGTTTTACTTCAGTTTTAACCAAAAAGTGGATCACTCGAGCTTTTACAGAATAAAAACCAGAATACAATAGAGACAATAACACGCAGCATAATATGCAAATGGTATCGTGGATGGGCAGCATTTGTTTCCCCGCTTTTTGAATCCGTTTTTCTGAAGCAAATCCCACACTCCATAATCTTGAATGCGTTAGTGGTGGAATGCAAACTGGCATCGCAACATTCAACCCAATTGCTTTCAAGGGGCCAATATTTTGATGAATATTATTTTCGGGTTCCACTTTTCTCCACGTTTGTTTAAAACTGCAAACCTGTAAGATCTATAATTCGAAGTTCCCCGGTTACTGTTATCATAGCATTTACAACAGAATAAGTGTCCTGGTAACAATTAGCAAAAATATCACTCTCCTGCCTTACACTGGCACGTAGTAGAGAGTCAACAGTATGTCTCTCCTGACATCTTTACAAGTGCTACCATTCTAAGTGATAAACGTTGCTATTAGGATCTGAATAAACAAAGATAGTCAGAAGTGCTCGACTGATGGGTGAAGCACAATGTGGCGGTTCTACTAAACTTTATATAATGTTCAAATATACTCTCGTTTGCATCAGATGAGTCAACCAGTTACTGGCCCTTTGTACTGTTAAGCAAGTAATATTCCACTCATTATCAGTCTATGCAGATGTATTACACATTCCCCATGCTCTGAACCATTCTGTGGTTCTTGTTTGCGTGAATGCAGTTAATCCATGAATAAATCGGTAGGCGTGTGTAATAAATGTTATTTTATGACAGTGCTTGTCATGGTCTAAAGTGAAATTAATCGCTAAAATATGCTGACCTGGAAACCCCCACATTCTTCGCTCAATATACAGGTGTTCCCAAGTTAATTCTTTCAATGATGCATATATATTGTCAGTAACGCATTCATTTTGTTTGTTTGAGCTGGAAATTGTCTTTCCACTGCTTACACTTTATCATCTCCATTCCATACAACTGGTTCTGCAAACGCATCAGTGATTGATTATCCTTTCAATGTTCAAAGGTAGGTAAATGATTGGATACTTGCAAAGGCTCCCACTAAACCATTGAATAGTTGTTCAGATTAATAACGAACATTTTAAAATGGAAATACATTTTTATAGAATAAATGTGAACATGTACAAGGTTTAAAAACATTATTGTTCTGTTTTCTGCTTTTATTTGGTTTGCACCTGCAGAATGCACAATCTTTACTCTCTGCAGTAAACTCTGGGAAGCACTTTGAGTTGTTTCAATGCAAGGATTATTAATATCTTATCAAAGAATGTTTAAACCCAAGAGGAGGCCATTCAGCCTGCTATGCCTGTGCCAGCTTTCTGAAAGTAGTGTCTATAGCTCTCTTTGTCAATTCTCTTATAAATAATGCAGGAATGGAGTCAAGAACAAGCAATCATGTTTGTCTGGTTCAGATTAATTGTCAAAACTGAGAAATATACAGAGGAAATGATCGATAATGTGGAAGCAGTAAATTCTTGCTTAAAGAATGAACCTGGAGCTGTGTCAGCTCCTGTGACTACAAACTAGGTGAGATTTAAGGTAGTGCCATCTTAGATAATTCACCAGCTCTTTGGGAACCTGGATTGAGATGGTTTCTCTGAGCACAGATTGTTCAAGTGCATGAAATTCATTTATAGTAGAGTTACAACAACATATTGATGAATACCTTTAGTAATCAATCACTAGCTGCCTATTCAGAAACATGTTTTATTTCTGTGTAGGTTTGGTTTCAAAACAGAAGAGCAAAATGGAGAAAGAGGGAGCGTTATGGACAATTACAACAAGCCAGGAGCCACTTTGCAACCTCTTATGATGTTTCTCTTTTACCCAGGACAGAGAGTTACTCACAGGTAGGTGGATAATCACACAAATGAGTATGTAGCTGGTAGATGTAGACTACCATACATCGAGAAGTGGCTTGGTTGCATAGCTAGTGAGCAACAGCAACAATAAATTACATTTGTATAGTGCCTTTCATGTCAGGAGGATGTCCAGAGTAAGGGGATAAAATGAAAAGGAATAAAAGCAGATTGTCTCTATATTGCAGTTATCAAAACAAAATGAAATACAGTATACGTTCAGTCTGGATACAGATATATGAAGAATATCAAACAAGTTTCCCTATAATGTAAGTTCCCCTGTGACGTAGGAGATGTGGTTATGTATGGCTCGTTGCTGACCTCCCGTCCTATGTTATTTAATGGATATTAGATCACATCCATGGACTCATGAGAGAGGTTTGAATGAGGAAGGCCCAATTGCCCATTGTTATCATTCTTCCAGAATACCCACCCCACCACCTTCCCACTACAGCGTCAAGCTGTTCATCTGGTATCATTTGGCAAATGTAGTTATGAAAGTTATATTATTCATGAGATATAATCAACTGGACTAAATTACAATTAATGCAATTGACGCCTTCCTCTGCTTCACACAACCTAAAAATGTTTCACACTGAACAAAGCTTGTTTTCTTATCATGTGATTCATATGCTCCTCAGCAAACAGATGAGCATCTCATGCAGTGCTTGCAGAGATGCACATTAATCTCAACATTTATTGATAATGTGATAACAATGCTGCCTAGCATTCTTTCTATGTTCGAGGCATCCGATTTTGGTCTGTCATTTCTAATATCTGCAAAAGGAAAGGTGAAGTTGCAGATACACATCAATTTACATTTAGTTCTATAAAACTAAACTGTTCAGGATTGAGAACCAAATGCACAAAATCAATTTCCAGTTCTTGTTAAATGGAATCCTTCTAAGCAAAACTCTTCATATAATTAAAATGTTTCGTCAGTACAATGTTTCCATCTCCACTGTGATTCTTATGCAGCTTAAAAGATTTCAACTGCAATGGGATAGAGGAATGAATTCCTGAAAGCTGTGGTTTCTACAGGGTTTTCAATAAACTGTTGGCTTTATTGTTGGCAAATGATGCTGTAAATGGTTTACTGTAACATGTTGAAGTGAAATATTTGAGAAATGCAATGATTTGATATTGAGATAGCATCAGTATTTTGATAGAATAACTAGATAGAGAATGGATGGATTTATGCACTTGTCTCTCTTTTTTTCAGCTGCAGAACAGTTTGTGGGCAGGAAATAACTCCACAGCCTCATCGGTTTCATCTTGTGTTTTACCACGCGAAACATCTCCCTGTATGACGCCCTATCCACACTCTCACAGAAATGGCAGTGCCTACATGGGGATGTCTAATCATCAAAATCAGTTCAGTCAAGTTGCTCTGAACAACCTCTTCAATGACTCTGCACATTCGGGCTCACCCGACGGACATGCATTTGAGGCGAGGCCCGAGTGCGAACGGAGATCATCAAGTATCGCTGTTCTTCGAATGAAAGCCAAGGAACACACTGCTAACATATCTTGGGCCATGTAATTGGAGCTCAGTGAAAACATGAGACAAACCATCCGTCGACATTGTTCCTGTGCCTTGTTTTGGGGGAAAATAAGCTGCTACATACACCTGCAAACAGAAAATCATCATAACCACATGGATGAGAGTAATGTGCAGGTCATTTTGTGCTTGGCAACTTTGTTTAGAATAGAGAGAACCCAGAACTGAAACTCCTCAACAGAAATGGATTCTTAAATAGGATACTGTACATCATGTCTTGGTGCCTTGGATTAGAATTTTTTCAGAAACTAGACAATGTCTGCCCCTGTAAGTATGGGAATGCGTCACCATCTCCCAATTCTGTTCCGACCATTCCCATTCCCTACTCGAGGTAATCCAAACCTTGCCTTCGATCTGCCCACAATACTGAGACTGCCCTGGTTAAAGTCACTTATGACATCCTATCTGTCGGTAATTGGGGTTTGCTGTCCTTTTTGATCTCTGTTGCCTTTGACACAACCGATTGCTCCATTTTCTTTCATAATTTCCCCTCTGTGGCTTTGCACACTCATGTTTCCACTCTTATCTGTCCCAATGTCTTCAGTATATTTTCTCTATCCTTGGTCCTCTCCTATTTCCTATAAACTTCCCTAGTAGACATCTGCAAACATTGGAATATTTTCCACATGTGTGCCACTGACATCCAACCCTACTTCTCTGCTTGTACGTTTGATTCCAGGACTATTTGCTGTTCTGATTGATTACCTGTCAGACATCAAGTCCTAGGTGACTCTTAAGTTCTTTCATCTGAAAATCAACAAAACTTGAACAGTCTTGTTCAACTCTCACCCATGTCTTCTTGCATCTTGTTCCGACTCTATCAAGGTCCCTAACCGTTTGTTCCAGCTTGCTGAGCTCGTGTGTAAAGTTGGCTTTCTGCTTGACCACCAGCTCAGCCTCAAATCCCACTTGTTTCAATCTCTGGAACATCTCACCCCTCTGATGTAAAAACCTTATCACCTCAATTTTCTCTTTCTCCAATGCTCTCCTCCCCGATCTGCCTGCTAATCTAGACTTCGCATAAACTTCAGCTCATTCAAAACTGCAGCCCAAATACTCTCATACATTACAACAGCAACAGCAAAATTATATTTGTATAGCACAGTTCACGTCGGGAGGATGTCCCAAGGGGCTGGACAATCAGTGTTTAGGACCCAAGAATTCTTACAATCATCATAACCAGGCACCATTGGCTCTCAGTATCCCAGCAGACTATTGCTCGGTCGTTCCTGCCTGGCTCCATCCCACAATCAGTGGCGTTTACCGTGCCTTCGGTCATCATCTTTAAATTCTCTTCCCATCATTTCCGTACATCACTTCATACTATATAGGTGCAAATTATTGGTAGTTTTGTTGTTACAAGAGGTTGATCTGACAGCAAAGATAACAGTTCACTGGTTATATGATCCGAATAACAATAGTCTCAGTACATTGCAACCCACAGGAAGGCCCTGAACAACACAATTTGTCAATATAAGACTGGAAGCAATGCGAATAACCAATTCCCACACAGACACTTTCATCTCAAAGTTAAATTACAAACTCCATATCACACGACCTTATGATCAGTTGTGCGATATATCTTCAAGAGTCTATTGTTTCGCTAGTCAAATGAAAAAAAAACTTTTTTTACACTAATGAGATGCCATAGTGTATGTTAATTGATTGATACTTGGAACTGTCTAATATAATACAAGAATCAACAAATGTTTAAAGCTATCAAATAAAATTCCTCACTTTACAATAAAACAGTCAGTAACAGAAAAGCCCAGCAGTTCTAAATGCTGGTCTGATTTTAAACATAGTGCTTATCAGAGTCTTATCAGAGAAATATAGATTGTAAGAAATGTTTGGATTTTACATGTCGTAGGTCTACGATTCCATCAAAATCAGTCATATGAAATAGCACAATGTAGAAGGCTTTGTGCATATACAGCAGTGTTTGAAATGACATCAAGGACAGATTGATTCTGGACGCCTGTGTTTGAAGCCAACATGTGACTGAGGTCCAAACCAATGGTTCACTTTACCTGGTCAGCAGCAAATGTACTATCCGAGTTCAGGCAATGATTTTCGGAGCTGTAAGGTTCTATCTTGCTTCAAGGCTACAGTAAGTAAGTGTAAGGAAATTAATTTTAATTTTTTTTAACTCTTTTTATACGTCTGTGTTCAGCACCCAACTGTAGAACTGCAATTGAAATTAAAATGAATATAAAATGAGTAAATAATTGAGCTTTACCTAGGTACAAGTATCCCCCTGGTTTTATCTCCTCTGACATTTCAATATCTAGAAATCTGAATACAGAAATGACTGTTCTCACCAGCTTCAGAACAAAACTCAAGTGTTGACGAGATTATTCACAGTGGTTTGTAAAAGCTATATATGAGAACCAACACTAGTGATATCAGTTGGTGACTACTTGACCTTTCTTAATTATTGCATCCATTCCAGCATTGTTTCACACTTTGCAATGATATACATCAACAGTGCAGTCTAGTAGATTAAAATAATTTACTCATCTTTAATGTAAAGCAAGAGAACATAACAGATCCTGTCATACATTATAATGCAATAGTGATATGACAAATGCACCAACTTTAAAATAAATACTGATATTTAGTTAGATTTACAATAAAACATTATAGCAATATTCATCAATATTGGCAAAATCAATGACAGGGCAGCACACAGTAACAGCTCATTCAATTTCACAGATTGATACCTAGCGACACAAAACCATATATTAAAAAGTGATATTTTATTCCTTGTTCCTACATGGAATCTACATAGTATTGATCGAGTCAAACTAGGAACAATTTTTCTTGGAAGCTAATGAAAATGAAACTGAGCTTTCAATAGAGTACGTACTGGGTACATTAGTTTTACATTGTGGTGCGGTTCCTTTGGAAGCAGTGTGCGTGAGGGTTTGTTGGTGAACCTTAGGGATTTTCCTACAGCAATGAGGACTGGGTTTAAGCCACAGTGAAAAGTAATCTGACTAGAACAGAACAGTGGACAGAGTGATCAGTCGGGTCAGGAATAAAAGATGCTTCAGATCATGAGAAGGCATGTTACACATTATTTTGCGAGATGGAGGGGGAGGTGCAGAATTTTAGCACTGGGGAACAAGAAATTAATTCCATTTGAGAGCTCATTATCAGCAGTGAACAGTCCCAGATAAAAATGATACAAGATGATGCAGGATAAAGCCTTACACAGACTAAAGTTCTGGCCAGTGTCTCAGATCGTGCCCTTGGTGAGTTGGTTATTAATGGGGAATCTGATTAGTGTATGACATTACTGACCAGAATTTCAGCCTAAGTATGCGTGAATCATCAACGTCACAGAATATTGCTAACTACACCTGCTACATCTGTTCATTTCCTAAACCAGGCAATGTTGCGATTTCTCTGAGTGAGAGTAAATTTAATCTGAGTGTTGAATTTTAAGCGCTCCGAGATGCCGTCCGGTACGAAGGGTGCTATATAAATGCAAGTTGTTGTTGAATCGCAAGCAGTTTTGTGCTTCACATTCCATGCTCAACATAAATTCCATTGAGACTGCTCCTACTTGCTTCATGCAGGGCCATTGCTGCATCAGAATGAGAGAGAGAGAGACTGGAAACTTTCATCCCATTAGCCTGGAAATGATTCTGCATCAAGCACACGACTGGAGAAGAAAATACAGTGTGTCCCATTCGCTCTTATAATTGCTGCCTATCTACAACCAGTATCTATGCATTTTATACCAAGTCGAGTTGGAAGTGAGCGGAGTCTCAGTTTTGAACAAAACTAAGCGGGACAATATTGATGAATCTATAAGACAGTCAAATATGAACAAGACTTCCTTTTATTTGTTTTTTTTATTTTTAAAGCAGGAAAGCTTAGTTTGTCACTTTCTACTTTATTTTCATGCCTGAAAAGTGATATTGGAACAATGTCCAAAATAAACACGTCATCCTCTTATCTGGAGGTGTGATTAGTTTCTTTGTCTACAAATGATTAAGAATTATTTTAACTGCCGAGCCCAGAAAAAGTTTCTCATGTCCCGTGGCCTTGCAATTCCTCGTGACAGTCTTTGAAACAAGGCAGCAGTAGTAAGATTTCTATTGCCCACTCAGCCTAAACGTTAACATCGATGTTGTACAGTAATCCACAGCTACCGCTAAAACATCTGACCACTACTGTATTTGGTCAAAGGTTTCTACTGTTTTGATCATGTTATATGGTCACTTTTAAATGGGTAATAAGAAATCATAGTGCAATCATTTGACCACAGATATCTTTTCATCGCGTTCGCCTATGAAAAAAAGCAGTTACTAGACAGTAAATCCTGTGCAGCGCTTTATACAACCTAATGTCCTTAAAGGTGCTATACCAAATGCAAGGATTATCATCAATTTATAAATGTAAACAAATGTAGTCAGGATTCCATCAATTCAAAATAGCCATTGTTTGGAACGGAGCAAACTACTTTAAAGCCACTTGGATACTTTCCAAGTGTAATGTTAATTTACTTAATATTGTTTCTATGAATACATTGTTTATTCAGAGATATTTAGAGATTTAGAGATCCTTTATAGTTGATCATGTTATCTGGGCTGGCACTCCAATGCAGTGCTAGTGGTGCGCTGTAGTGTTAAAAAGCTATATCCTTCGGTCTAATCTGCCAGTTCAGATGGATGTTAAAGATCCCATGGCACTATTTGAAAAGAATATGGAGATTCTCCTGGTGTTATAGCCAACAATCCTCCCCCCGCACCCCTAGCCAAATGTGTTCATTCACTTCATGGCTGTTTGCAGGACATTGCAGTGCACAAACTAGCTCCCCTTTCACTCAGAAATACACACCTACTACACCTCTCAGTAAACATCCTGTGAAGCTCTTTGAAATTATGTGATAAGGCATTAAACCAAATGCAAATATATATGATTGGCAGTAGTAATATTAGATGAAAGAGACGAAAATAATGATAGTACTTCTCGCAGGTTTTTTGTTTTGTCTCCCCCTTCAATTTTTCTTCCCTCCGCTCAAGCTGCTCTCTCAAAATAAGTTATAGTTCCATGGGCACCAGCAATCCAGAGTCTCAGACAATGTGTGAGAGGCTGAACAGGGAGTGTTGGTTGTTTGGGTTGGGGGAAGAGAGCTTAACAGCTGAGTCTCACCCAATGT